CAACAAGTAAGCAAGGAGGGGGCGCGTAGCACACGCACGAGCGAGGACGCGCGTAAAATTTTGGCTGGAAGTAAACAAAGTGTAGGTTAGTTGATGCATTGCGAGTCATAATGTGTTTTTGCCGTCATGCATTCAAGTGGTTTTATTCAGCCAGCTCATAAATGATCTAACCGCGGCTGGAGATTTGAGGTCCGCGCTGTCAGGCCTGTTTCTGGACTTCTTCACCAAACTTAATCCATGTGTGATTTTCCAATATGAAACGCAGCGCTTTAAGATAAATAAGATTTTAAGATAAAGCTTATACCACCAGTTGTTTCCCCTGAAGCATTAACTACACTGTGCCTGACACAGCAGCAGCAGCAGCGGCATGCGCAGGGCACACACTGATGTGATAAAGTCATCAGTAACAACAGCGTCCCTCACATTGTTCAGGATACTATGTGCTTAAATCGCAACAATTTCTCAATGACGTGTTGCGCATGATCTGAACATTGAAAATCAGAAGGGAAACCTGGAGCTACACACAGTGTCACCACAATCCACAAACGCTTTAAAATGAGTGAAACGCTTACCTCCTGGAGAACTGACGTGTGAACTCAATTCTGCAATGAAAAGGAGACATTGAGCCTTCGTGTGAGAATACATAAAAATAACTGTATGCATTAAAAAAAATACCAAATCGTGTCTTGTATGACAGTCTGAGCAGAGGCTGCACAACAGATGATTGACGGCGGGGTTTTTGGTGTTTCTGTCTGCGGTCGGGTCTCTCATTGGCTGACTTCCTCCCCAGCCACGAATGCTGCCATTAGATTGGCTGCGCGTCCTCGCCAGCTGTACTTCAAAGAACACGCTCTCTACAACTAGGTAGTGTTGGGAGCTGCGAGCCAAGAGAGAAACCGTGTGACCTGAGTCAAACACGGTGAGTCTGAATCAAATTGGAGCCGTAACAGCATTGAAATCGCGAACACCCTCAACACAGCACAGACCCTGGATATGGCCACGTCTATACTTGGGGTGAGTCCGACTTTTTTATTTATGCGTAAAAGTTGTGCGTAAAGTTGTGTTGCGCTGCAACTTAAAGTGTTTGCTGGTTTCATAAACATGCATTTGCAGTTATGATTTCCCACTATGCTCACTACGATTACTTTACTCGTTATTTATTATTAAATTACACAGTTAAATAGCATTACGAAATCCAGATCAAACTTTGCAGTGTTTTTAATATTTTGTAGGCTACTCGCCGCATATTCTCAGCAGACATCTGACGCAGTTAATATTGTGAAAAAGTTTGTAAAAATGTTAATATTACTTGAACGTTGCATTTTATCTATATTATACGCTTGTTAAAACGCGCACCTCCACTCTCTCCAAACACATTTATCTGAGCTCAAATTATACTTTAAATAATTGCAGTAGTTTTAATTCATTTGCCAAAGTCCTGCTTTATATCAGATCAGTCATCAGCTTCCCAGATATCTAAATAAAACCAAAGTCTTTGAGACATATTTGTTGCTGCCCGTTTTAAGTCCAACTTCTGTGTGTGTGTGTTTTCAGGAAGAGCCACGGTTTGGAACTACACCTCTAGCTATGCTGGCTGCAACTTGCAACAAAATTGGTAACACCAGTCCTCTTACAACTTTACCTGACTCGAGCGCTTTCTCAAAAGGTGGATTTCACCCGTGGAAAAGATCCTCGTCCAGCTGCAACTTGGGATCCAGTCTGCCCGGTTTCACAGTTGCAACAAGCCGCGCGTCGACAGGACTAACGCCGACCAGTGGCACAGGCAACAGCGCCTTTTGCTTAGCCTCCACCTCCCCGACCTCGTCTGCGTTTTCCACAGAGTACAGCGGTCTGTTTTCCAACTCTGCCAGCGTCACGTCCCAAGAGTCCGGGCAGTCAGCGTTTATCTCCAAAGTCCACACATCGGCAGAGACTCTATACCCGCGTGTGGGGATGGCGCACCCGTACGAGTCGTGGTACAAGTCCGGTTTCCACTCGACCATCTCTGGCGATGTTGCCAACGGTGCGTCCTCGTGGTGGGATGTCCACACTAACCCCGGGTCGTGGCTCGATGTCCAGAACCCTGCAAGCACCCTCCAGACCTCACTGCACTCCGGGACGCCTCAAGCCATCCACTCCCAGCTGAGTGGCTACAACCCGGACTTCTCCTCGCTGACGCACTCGGCGTTCAGCTCCACTGGAATCAGCCCCACCGCGTCTCATCTACTGTCTACCAGCCAGCACCTGTTAACGCAGGACGGTTTCAAAACAGTCATCCCCACTTACACAGACACTTCCGCCGCCAACGCCATGATTTCTGGGGGCAGTTCAGGAATAAGTAGCTCCTCAAGGTCGTCCCGGCGGTACTCCGGCAGAGCAACATGTGACTGTCCGAACTGCCAGGAGGCTGAGCGGCTGGGACCCGCCGGGGCCAGCCTGCGCAGAAAGGGACTTCACAGCTGCCACATTCCCGGCTGCGGTAAAGTGTATGGAAAGACATCTCACCTCAAAGCGCATTTGAGATGGCACACCGGCGAGCGGCCTTTTGTCTGCAACTGGCTTTTCTGTGGCAAAAGGTTCACTCGGTCCGATGAGCTCCAGAGACACCTTCGCACCCACACCGGCGAGAAACGGTTTGCTTGCCCGGTGTGTAACAAGCGCTTTATGCGGAGTGACCATTTGAGCAAGCACATCAAAACGCACACGGCCGGTGGAGGAGGCAAAAAGGGGAGCGACAGTGACACCGACACCAGTAACCTGGAGACCCCGAGGTCCGAGTCCCCAGAACTTATTTTGGAGGGGGTAAATCCCAGAATCACTGTTAAGGATCCGTCTCCTCACGACGAGCCCTAATGAGGCTTCACCCCTCCAAAAAAAAAAAAAAAAAAAAAAAAAAAAATCAAACCAGATTCAAAACTGCACAGCATTGAAAACGGGTCTTATTTGACGGACAATAAAAAGGAGAAAATATTTCAAGAAGCGATTGCAAAGTCTAAAAAATATATTCTCCACAGGCGTAACGAGTATTCCATGCGTAAAACCCATCTAAAGAAAAACAGTGATTTATACTGTAGGCCTTTGGGGAATTTTTAGGGGCAACTTGAAAATGAAATGGATGTTTGCTAAGGGTGCGCGAAACCTGTTGAACTTTGGTTGGACAATGTGAGTGACATCTTGTATATTGACGACTAAACTCTGTGTTATTTTCATGTAAATGTTTAGGCTATGATTGTTTTATTCGTGTTGGTATCCTGGAAATCAGGGAGTTTACTTTCGACGCACTTTGTGGATATGTATGTACACAGCTTTTTCCAACTTTGGTTAACCATTTTATTTCTTTGCTAAAAAAATATCTATATATAAATGTTTACCTGTATAAAGTCACACGTATAAGACTTTCATTTTATCGTAATTAAAACATCTTTAAAAAAGGCTGTAATTGTGTGATGCAGATTTTATATTTTTTTTTCTGTCTAATTTTATTTGTTAAATTAATTTAGGAATTTATTTGAGAGCATGAGGCTATTTTTTCTTAAACTCACCTATAATACCTCGACTTTCACTATTTCCCCCTATGGAATAAATCAATGTTTAATGCCCCGGAAAAAAACATTTCATGCCCAAATGAAAATCTTGTTAAATGGTATTAATTATGACTTGGAGCACATCGCAGCCCCATGTGTCTTGTATTTGCGATTAGGGATTCGTGTCTTATCAAATATCTAATTAATCTCCGAGACATCTTTTGTTCAGTTTCACTTTATCGGGGGGTTTCCAAGGGGGTTTGACGACAAAGGTCCCTGAATATTTATTCTAATTGTCCAAATTAACTGCTTTCATTTGCATACCAATCCATGGCCCGAGAATAAGGATGTGGCGTCTTTCTCTTTGCCAGAAGCCACAGAGATGTTATGGGAACAGTTTTTTAAACTTTAGAAAAAGAAAAGGGGCAAAGAGTCACATGCAAATGTTTGAATTTGAAATGCTCTTTGCTCAGCGCAGTCAAATGGTGTCTGCATGTTATTTGAATATCAGTGGCCCCGTATTGAAAGGGTTCAAGGATGCTCTCTGACTTCTTTGTGCTTACCCAGTGCAGCGTCCGACTCTCAAAGAAAAAGCCGGGGAATAATTACAGCGTGAGTCCAGGACTGGGAATACGTCAGGGAAAAGCATCTCATCTAGACACCCTCTTTTTTTTTTTTTTTTGAAGAGGATGTTAAATTGACCAGAAGGCAATAGAGGGAAATTATTTTCATTTCCTTTTGTGCAACAGCGGCTTCGAGAAAACGGCCAGATAGTGAAAACTACCAAATTAGACAGCCAATTTGAATTTCATCAAATATAAAAAACTGGAAGCAACAGTGAAGTAAAAAAATGTGGAAATTTAGGCATTTAGACGCCACATTTTGGAGTCTAATTAAATTTGTTTTTGAGTTACATTTATTTATTTATTTAAATTTAAATTATATCAAAATTGCTTTTCCTACATTTTGAAGACTGTCAAATACATTTTTAAAATAATTTTTACGTCTAAAATTTAATGTTAAAACAGGAAAAAAAGACATGTCCAAATTAGATAATAAAACAATTATTTAACTTTCACACAATTTTTCTACATATTAAAATATAAAATATTGGCATGCATTAATAAAAACCATAGCAGATTTTGTTGCGTTTCCAGTATGGCTGTATTTACACGCTGCATATTTGGACAGAAATCATATTTGTTTTGTTTGACGCCCGCAAAAACCCAGCAGGACGCATTTCACAGCTTTTGAGATAACACACATTGTGTCATGTGATTCAGGGAAACCGGCCTGAAATATTCAAAATCATTATTATTATTTTAAAAAGGTAACAGTAATAATTTGCTGTCAGGTGCTCCGCGCTTTAAGATAATTTAGTAGTCAATGAGAAGATATACAAGCGGTAATCAATCAACAGACAAATCACTTTTATCCAAGTTTTGACGCCATCCATCGCAAAACAAACGCGTGAAATCGAGATGATTAAAAATTTAATCAGAAATTAAATACTCATTTTTTTGTGAGAATCAACAGCCGTCTCATCATCACATCTTACAATGTCGACACATTAATGAAAGCAAAAAAGAAAAAAAAAACCCTGCAGCAACAGGAATAATCTTTCTAGCGGCCAACTGACCATTAAAATGACTCCAATATTTTCTCATCAGCGGATCATAGCTACAAATTGCATCCAATGGTAATCAATTAATTTAGAGCCTTTTATACAGAAGACAACACAAGGGTGCAACGAGCTGCGGCTCCACATTATCTGTGCACTGCGTCCCTCTACTGGACAAAAAGGGCTACTACTGGACATATCTGCGATGTTAAGTAGAGAGACAGTGTGATAATTATGAATACTATTTAACAGTCATTTCAAAAAAAAAAAAAAAAAAATGAAAACATTCAACACGTTTTGCCCAATATTGTAAGATACAACAGAAAACAGTCAGTGCTTTCTTTTGGCTCTGTCTTGGCTCCTCTCTCTTCTCTCTCTACTCCTACTTCTTCCCCTGCCCTCCCTTTCTTTCCTCCTTTCCCTGCTTCTGCTCCTCCCATCTGCTGTTCTGCCTCTCCTTCCATCTGTGCTACTTCTGTTCCTCTCACCATCTCTACTGTGACGCCCATCTTTACCTCTGTCCTCCCTGCCTCTCTCGCGGCTCCTACTTCTGTCCAAGCCAGACTTGGAGCTGCTAGGTCTCTGCCTGTCCCTGCTGTTGTGTCTCTTTCTCTCTTGACCTCCCTCCGGCTTGATCTTGTTCGCCGGGCTGTGATTTCGACTCCTGCTCCTTCCCCTCTCCGTCCTTGTTTGTCTATAATCTCCGGACTCCTCTTCAGGCCGCTTCTGTCCAGTGTGAGGGCTCGGTGACCTGCTTCTGTGAGAGGAGGCCTTTTTCTGACTCTTGACTCTGCGCTCGCTCTTAGAGCTGTTATCCCGACAGGAATCTTTTTTCTTGTTCTTCTTTTGGCTCTTGAACTTGCCACGGCTGTCTGAATCGGAGCCACTATTGCTACTGCTACTGCTGCTGCTGCTGGAGGAGTCACTCGAGCTGTCACTACTTTCATGCTTTTTCTTGTGCTTTCTTTTGCTCTTCTTCTTCTGCTTTTTGCTCTTCTTTTTCTTGGCCTTCTGCTTTTCCAGGCGATCGAGCTTTCTGTAAAACAGGAACACAAACATTCAATTAAAATTCTCAAACACAGAAGCAGATAAACTTATAATATCAACATAATAAAGTCTATAAATCACATTAAAGTTTAATGAGAGTGCCTTTAGCTGATGTTTAAGGTACATGCAAAACACCATCAAAAAGGAAAGCATTGGAATGATTGGATTTAAAAAACTAAACTAAAATGCACAAGTTTTTGTTTTTAAATTTGAAATACATGCATAAGAAAACATCACAATAACCTTGTAATTCATCAGATAATTTATCCAGACTTCCCTCATGTTACTGTATCAATACGAGGTTTAAAATATTCAGTGTTACAAAAACAATACAAATGTTGGTCTGCTCCTTAAAGCTTTCATTTATTAAGATTAAGATTTGTAAATTGTGCAACATTTTGTACCTGAGGAGCTTCTGTTTCTGCTTAGTCGTTAATGACTTAAGAAATTCCACCTCGGGATCTTCCTCTTTATCACTGGCAACAAATTCCTGTAAAAGCACACAGCACGTTGAAACTGGCATTTAAATCAGAACGATAATGTGCAGATAAATACGACTCTCAAAAGGCAAATTTAAGGAAATCTATATTTGAATAGGTGAACACCGTAAAGCAATGATATTATTTATTTTATCAAATCTGTTCACTTGAGTTGAGCTGCCACAAAAACTTGCCCCTGTGCATCATTTATATATGCTATACAAAGATATATTTAGTCTTTTCTCACTGAAGAGTGTGTGTGTGTGTGTGTGTGTGTGTGTTCATATATCGTCCTATGTGTGCAAAGACGGGAGTGCGAGACAGACAATTACCTGCGATGGATCACAAACAGTAGCATTCCTACCAAGGACACATTTTTTCAGGGCAAACCCACTGTTTCGCATCTCCGCCATTAACTCCGAGGGGTGCATCGACGGACCTGTTAGCACAAATCACAGCCTCAGAGTTCCATTGATGTCAAACCCATGCCAACCACTATCTCCACAGTGGGAATTTCAGGGGTGGCTTTGTTAACAGAATGGGACATCAAATCAACTCACTCCACTTCCGGCTGAGCAAATCATACAATATCATTCTCTGCCAAAGCAGCAGTTAGGGGAATCAGAATACACAATAATTACATTTTTTTCCTCCCGGCACAGGAGGGGGACCATTACAGCACTCCACCATCAACACCATGCGCAGACTGGACTCTCCCAGGGTAAACATTATTACTTTACTACTCAACTCACTGATTGCAGAAGTCAGAATCAGCTCGAGACTGGGAGCTCCAGCTGAAACCCGAGAGGAAAGATACAGTAGGTGTACCTGCTGCAAAGTCTGACTGAGGCGAACACACTCGCCACAAATATCCAGCGGCACGGATATTCTGGCTCCTTGTTCTTTTGTACAATTACTCTACTGTTTTTTGTTCTATCGCATAACGAACAACAATCATGTTTAACATAAATATAGATTTCAACGGGTAAAACGTACTTACTTATTTTTAGTCATGCACTGATAATGGAGAATCACTTATTTCTATCTTATTTTCATAATGCTTGCTTGTATGCTTATTTCAATTAATTAATTACTCCTGTTTAATTCAACAGCAACAAAATAAAATCTGTAAGTCAAAATGGTGCTTTGTTTACACACATATCAAATTAAAATCTAATTACATCGATAAACAAAGAAGCTGCAGGGGAAGGTGTTTAAAATGTCTGTTTTAGATAATTATTGTATGCTATGTACTCTACCTGCTGCCTCCTCTGATGCCACAGAGCTGGCATTGATACCCGACAGCCCATAGAGAGGACACTCTCGGTCTGTGTTCACATGGCCCCATTTGTGACATTTGATGCATCGCACGTTGCGCACCTGGGAAGTTAACAACAACAGGCATTAGTGCAAATTGTGGAGATGTATGTATAATTATTTAAACTCAACTTGTTTTTGTACCAAGCAACACTTAGCTATATGGCAACATTTATTCCATTAATGTGTTAAATTCATGACAAACTCTGATTTACTTTTTGAAACTTTGTAATGTACATTAAAGCATACATGGCATATTTAATAATATAGTAGTTCCCAATCTTTTTAGCTTTTTGAACTCTGTTCATTGATTTTTTACAAAATTTTAAGCCCTTGTGGGTGACAGCATCATGTTATAGTAGTGCAGTAGAAATAACCACAGGATACAATATTACACAGAAAACACAACAACAGCCAGCTTGGTCATATTTCACATATTAAAGTAAACATAACAACCTCACCTTTAAGGTAAAAATAAAAGATATTATAGATAATTAGCAGACAGATTAAATGGGATCTTCCTTCAGAGATAAATGGGAATATCATTTGTCCTGAATAGGCTTCCACATCTTTTTTAAATTCCTGGAAAAGCCTTTCAATGTATATCACATTTTTTTAAGCTGTTGATGTCTGGGAATTTCTTTTATCCACAAAGTGTGGGAAGGCGGTGTTGGTAACTTCCATCTCATTAGTATTAGATGTCTAGTTCTTTACAAAACCTACCAGATCTGCTAAGAGCATTGCCAAAAGCAACTGAGGGACGCAGAACAGAGCTGTAATGGCATTAGACTCTAGTATCCAATCATATTTAGCATCTGACCCCTAAAAACAAATCAAGGTCTACATGCGGCCCCTTTGTCAAAGGCTGTGACTTTACTGTCGACAGAGTGTGACTTTTCCTTTTCAGACTGTTTCATTATAGAATTTGCATCTTCCCAAGAAGATATAAGTAGTCACTATTTCCCAATAAAAAAAGCAAAAACAGACATATGTCTCATATTGTTTCTTAATCTTTTAATCAACTTGTGACCCCCTTAGATTTAATCTCCTGTTGGGGGATCACTGGTGCAGTCTGTATGTTTCAAATAAATAAAAATCATCACACACCTGGATTCCAAATGGCTGATCTCTAATGTTCATGTCATCCTTGGCATACCTACATGAGAAAATGAGGATTAAAAAGAGTGCAAATCCTGGAGGAGAGCTGGACAATATGCAGAGTAAATTTTATTGCATATAAAATTCAGCTACTTACTTCTCTCGAGGAGCCACCTTCTGCCACTCAAATTTGTACTCGTCTTCCCCCTCCTGAAAAAACAGATACATTTTTGTTATGGATTTTAGTATGTTAACTTTTCTAGTAATAAATGCAGTCGACATGCAGAACACATACACATATCATACAATTGTATAGGTTCATAATTTTCTTTACATTACCTCTTTTGTTTCCTCTTCAGGACAGATGACAATTATGTTGGGAAAAAACAAGTATTAAAATGTTAAGTATAATTTTATTAAGAATCAGATGTTCGAAACTAAGCATAATATTTAGTACAGATCAGAGCTGCTCAAGTGATCATTTACCTTTGGATGCTCCAGGTGGAGCCTCGTACATGAAATTTAGGCCATTTTTAACGCGATCATCCCCCATCAACAACCTAGAGGTGAGAAAACAACATGTTTGTTTCTTTGACGTGGTGATTATAAACATGTACACGATGTGAATCTGGAGGAGGTATTTAGAAAATGTAGCTAAAGTTCAGTTTTCTGAGCCTGAAACATCTGCATACTATTTATTTATCAAGAAAGTAAACCTCTGTATGTGTAAAATAAATCTGATATTAAAAGAGCAGCTTTCAAGGAGGTACAAAATATCACTTCTAAATGTATCTAACCTGTTGTTGTAAGAATCCTGCTCTTTCATGTACGCCTGCATAAGTTCTTCTTGCTTCTTCTTCTCGAAGGTCAGTTTCTGTTCTGCTATCCATACCTGTAAAATAAAGGGAAAAGAAGGATTACTGAACAAATTCTCTCTAGTTCTTTATACATTTTAAAAAACGTATTTGTGTCAGCTCACTTGCCTGACACACAAACACTTAAGTAAGTAATTTCACTAAATAGAAGTTCAATTTTTATGCACTTTATGTAATTACTGGCCCCTGACAGAGCATTAGAAGGGAGAAAATTAGTCAATTAACTGAATAATTTACGAGTTGATTGGCTGAAAATTGCACACACTTTTGAGAATCAAATGTTTTGCTCTTTTAAATATTTACTGCTAAAGTAGTAATGGCATTTTGGTCCATATTTCAAAATGTATCCATGTTATTCATACGAAGAAAGTCAAAAAATATTAGTAAACATGAGCAACTTTCTCTCAAATTCAAAAACTAGAGTGCTAAATTTGTGATGTCATCGAGAAAGGTCTAGACCTGCTCCGTAGACAATGATTGGAAAAGATATCATAGATGACACTGAAAGCATCCAGGGGAAGGCTCTGAGTATATGGGTACATTTTGTGTCAGACCTTAACACACTTCAATGCAATAAAGCTCATTTGGGTATAAAAAAGAAACGAACATTCTGTGGGTCCACAGAAATTAGTCTTCTATTCATTGTCTAGGGAACAGCACCAGACCTTACACTTCAGGTGGTGTCCCACTGTTAGGCGATCCAAAGACATTAACTTGGGCTCATGGCAATTGTGTAAGGCATTTTACACCATTTTCTGTATTTTGTGACCAACAATTAATAAAAGGGGGGGGGGGGGGGGGGGGGGNACTTTCACCAATACAGAGAAATCATTGGTAGTTACAGGGCTAAAGGAAATTTATGAGTAAGGCACACAATACATATTAAATTTATTAGGTGTAAGTTGAAAGGTGTATAAATAATGTCAACTTGGATATACACCAGAGGGCGCTCAATACCAATACACAGGGCAGAGACTACTAGTTAGGCTACATATAGACATAAAACCATAACTGTACGTATTGTTTATTAAATGCATTACAAACATATTAAGTCACAGAGTCATTTGTATTAATACTGCTTTAATGTTTTGCAGCCAAACTCACGGAGGACGATTTCTCATTCACATTTTAAATGAGCATCTGTGTGACGTTGATACAACATATGGCCTTATCTGGACAGCTTTAGTTTTGAAATACTGAAATTGAAATGAAAAAACATGCTCATTATAATAACTTTAACTCTCCTTCCACAGACCATAACAGCACAGTGAGCTAAAGCATCCCAAATTAACGTTATAACTTAAGGTTAGCCGTGTCCGTTAGCTTAACTGAAGTTACAACGTCAAAATTACGTTTATAATCTTAACAGCGCGAACGAACAAAGTACAGTAGCCATCTTAAACGGTTGGTCGTGGATACAAACAGAAAAACGACTCTGCGGTAAACATGTTCTTTCAGGTAATTATCCAACAGGCTAATGTTAGCTCCTGCTAAGTAGCAAGCTAGCAGGCTAATCTACGTTAGTTTCAAACGGTACCGCTAACTGTAGCTTCCACTCACCTTTTTGATATTTGACTTCGAGGCAGGGTGGAAATCCTTCTTACACATGAAATTCGCAAACGACTTCCCCATGGCTGACACCTATTAGGTCAATTAGGTGGAAAACGTAGCGTTTATTGTGGCTAAATCAGGCTTAACAGGGTCGCTAGCGGAGATTCCTCCGCATGTAAACAAATCTCTGTGCGTGAAGATAGTTCCAGGTTGGTGTTAAAGTGTTGAAGTCAGTTGCGCTTTATAATAAAAATACGCATGGTGAAATCTTTATGCTAAAACTACCACGTTACACCAGTGTGTGTAGATTGAAATATAGCTAAGTCATTTTAAAAAATATAAACTAAAAGCTACATCTTTTTTTACGCTTTGTAGTTAAATGGCCACCTGCTTTACAGTCATACTTGATATATTTCGATGATAAAAATGGCAGATTAAATTGCAAATAATTATTTCTGTAAAAGGATTTTCTGTCTCAGGATAAATCTGTCAGCAATACATAAATAAAACTATTAATATTGAGTTTCTGTATTTTTTTTAAGGACGTAATAAAGCTTTTGGAACAACAACTGCTATCGAAATAATCAAGGATGAGACATACAAATCAAACAAACAAATCTAATGTAAAAAAAATAAAATAAAAATAAATAAAAAGTGAGAACCGGCGTGATTTTCTGCATTATATGATCACACGCTAATAACTACGAATATAAAACTAACTTCCGCTCGGTCACGTGACTGCACTGTTTCCGGGTATGTGTACTTTGACCCATGTGATCATATGGAAACAGACATGGGAATAGAAACTTACTGTGACAGCTCACGGTAAGACTGGTAAACATAGGTAAGGTTACCTTGTTTTAATAATGAGTATATTCACAGCCTTACATGGCACTGCACATTGTTTCGTCTGTCAACCTGACTTTAAACGGCACACTTGATGCTAACTTTTAGCTTTAAATCTGATTTCATATCACTAAGGTGTATTCAAGGTGTTGCAAAGTGCATTGGCTGTTGTTCATCAGATATGCGTAATGAAATTAATTGTTCTTTCTGCTAACTCTGTGCAAGTGTGTGATCCAAAATGCTCCCATCCTCCTGTGATACCTTCGTGGCTCTGCCCCCCTCCACTGAGGGACAACGCATCATCTTTGGGAAAAACTCTGACAGGCCTTGTGATGAAGTCCAGGAGGTGGTGTATTTTCCTGCCAACGACTATGATGCAGGGGAGAAAGTTGAGGTAGGTGACAAAGACAGCTTGTTATTGCCCTCCAACCTTCAATTTCCCACATTGCGACTGCACCTTGGTTGAAGTGCCTTTATAGATAACCATTAACAGTTTTGCCCCTGTGTCTTGTTCATCTCCTGAACAGTGTACATACATAGAGATTGAGCAGGTGGCCCACACTTATGCAGTTGTGTTGAGCAAACCAGCCTGGCTATGGGGTGCAGAAATGGGCGCAAATGAGCATCAAGTGTGTATTGGAAATGAAGCAGTGTGGGGCAAAGAGAGTGCAGATGATGATGAAGCTCTTCTCGGCATGGATCTTGTCAGGTAAAAGCAATTGTTTGTATTACCAAGCCTCTGTTTCTTGTCACAATACCCTCAACTAGAGGTGCAAAGGGAAATTTAATGACACGGTACCAACCAGAAACAGTTTGGGGTGTTTTTTTCTTCTAGTTGTCAGTTCAGAATACATTTGTGAGAGACACTCATAGGCGAAGCAAAACATAAACCTGTGACTCTACAATTTTCCAGGCTTGGACTGGAGAGAGCCAATACAGCTGAAAAAGCTGTGGATGTTATTACTGAGCTGCTGGGGAAATATGGCCAGGGAGGAACTTGCATGGAGGATGAGAGCAGCTTCACCTACCACAACAGCTTCCTCATCTCAGACAGGAAGGAGGCATGGCTGCTGGAAACATCTGGGAAGCACTGGGCAGCAGAGAGAGTGGAAGGTAATGGAAAAAGAATACAAAGAATAGGTGACAGATTGAAATACAAGGCAATGGAATATGTTCAAAAGGCATTTTATTGTTTAGCTTGCAGTATTATGGGCTGTAATTCGAAAACAACAAAGAGACCATTGAAAAGTAGGCGTCCTAAACCGGTCAGCAGCTTTATATACGGTCAGTGGTCATTAACACAAAGAGAAAGGGGCCAATGCAGTGCAGAAAAAGGTGGACATTACATCTGACATAATAATTATGTCAGCCAAAAACCCTAACCGTCAAGCAATAGTGGGATACTTACATTTTTGGTAAATTAAGCTTGGAGCTTCATAACAAAAAGCCCCTGAGGAGGTTAATTACATTGGACAGTATCTTTTATCAGAAAATATATCATATATATTGGTATCTGTGTAAATGTCACCTGAGAAACACATCACTAAAGAGAGTGCCGCAGATATGTTGAGGTTGTTTGGCATCAGTCACCATTACATAGTTTGTCCACCAGAGAGCACTGGCTGGTTCATTTTCCAGCTGTAGAATGTTCCTGTCAGTACAATATTGTGATTTCAGTTCTTTAATAACCAAATTTTACTGATTTTGAAGCTTTCAAATATCAATAATGGTATTGGCCTTTAAAAAAACAAACAAAAAAGAAACAGTACCTGTCACGCTCTAGATGCAGCCACAGCCAAAGTCACATTACATCAGCGGCTGGAAGTTGTAGCTTTTGTTGCTTTTTGAAAGCTGTCAATAGCAGATTTAGGCCCATGTCTTCCATTTCCTTGCAAATGTTATTTAAATAAGTTACAACTACTGAAGCCAGTTTTTTTTCTGCCTTTCATATAATCTCTGGTTCATTTTTAATCGTTATTTGAAACAATATAAGTAAGTTTTTAGATTAATTTAAAAGACATTTGAACATCTACGTCTTGATTTTGTCCCAATTTATAACAGAAAAGAAGCTTGTATAACTGCAGCCTTGTTACTAACTAGTTTGTTTTTTGGAAGTATGTGAGACATCAGTTGTCAATTTACATGTTATGGCTTAAATTAATATTTGACTTTGTCCAGTTTGTAATGTTTCAACAACCATACAAGATCGTACAATGTGTAACTCTCCAAATGTATAATGGCTAATTACTAATTTTTACTTTTAAGCTTTATCACTTGAAATCCACATCGTACAGTAGAAATATATTGTTTACCAGACTGAAGCTCAACGTACACTGCATGACTAAAAGTATGGACCCTAGCGGAACATGTAAATAAAAAACAATGGGCCTTACCAAAAGCAAACAACATATGTGAACAGCAGAGTCCACTTATTTTTGGCAATACAGTCCCTGACAAAAGTCTTGTCGCTTATCCTAGTTGTAGGAACAACAAATAATAACCTGACTTGTAGTTGATCAATTGGGATCAGAAATAGCTTATATGAAAGGCAAAGGTCTTTAGATTATGCTTATTACATCAAAATAAAGTTGTGTGTCATTCATTGAGTTTTATCATTTAATTAGGACAGAAAGGTCAGATCTTGCTTGGACAAAAGTCTTGTCGTGTCTTTAAACGATTCAACCAATCACAGATTAGAGCTCCACCTGTGACAAATACTGTAATTAACACATTCCTAGGTGTGTATAAAAAGAACCCCAGCACACCAGACCTTCATGTGAAGTGCAACCTGACCGCTGACAACATGCCAAAGATTCAACCACGACCAAAGTGCTGATCATCAAGAGCCTGAAGACCAAGTCTGCTGCTGAGGTGGCAGACATCTTCAGTGTATCCAAACGTCAAGTGGAGAGGATAAAAAAAGAAACTGGTGACGTTCATGACAAGCCCAGGTCAGGCAGACCCCGTAAGACAACTGTTAGAGAGGACCGTTTGTTGCTTCGGCAGTCCAGGGCCAGCCCTTTTTCAACTGCAGCAAAGCTACATCAGAACTGGTCACCAGAAACCCCTGTATCTACCAGAACAGTTTGTCGAATTCTCTCACGCAATGGTCTCCATGGCCGAATTACTGCTCACAAACCAGCATTAAACAGAAGACAACAAAAGAATCGTGTTGCACTTGCCAAGGCCCACAGCTTGCAGAAAGGATGGACAGTGGAAAAGTGGCAGAAGGTTGATTTTTCTGATGAATCATCCATTGAACTGCATCCCAATCGCCGCAAATACTGCAGAAGACCTGTTGGAACCCGCATGGACCTAAGATTCACCCAGAAAACAGTCAAGTTTGGTGGAGGAAAAATCATGGTTTGGGGTTACATCCAGTATGGGGGTGTGCGAGAGATCTGCAGAGTGGATGGCAACATCAACAGCCTGAGGTATCAAGAGGTTCTCGCTGCCCATTACATTCCAAACCACAAGAGAGGGCAAATTCTTCAGCAGGATGGTGCTCCTTCTCATACTTCAGCCTCCACATCAAAGTTCCTGAAAGTGAAGAAGGTCAAGGTGCTCCAGGATTGGCCAGCCCAATCACCAGACATGAACATTATTGAGCATGTCTGGGGTAAGATGAAGGAGGAGGCTTGGAAGATGAAACCAAAGAATCTTGATGAACTCTGGGAGTCCTGCAAGACTGCTTTCTTTGCCATTCCAGATGACTTCCAGATGAAGTTATTTGAGTCATTGCCGAGATGTATGGATGCAGTCCTCCAAGCTCATGGGAGTCATACACGATATTAATTCTTTTTCCCAAGGCACCATGACTTTATGTTCTGATGTTATTGGAGCATGTTTGTGTATTCAAAATAAAGTATCATTTCTACAGTACATTATTTTTGTATGCGACAAGACTTTTGTCCAAGCAAGATCTGACCTTTCTGTCCTAATTAAATGATAAAACTCAGTGAATGATGCACAACTTTATTTTGGTATAATAAGCATAATCTAGAGGCCTTTGCCTTTCATATAAGCCATTTCTGATTCCAATTGATCAACTACAAGTCAAGTTATTATTTGTTGTTCCTACAACTTGGATAAGTGACAAGACTTTTGTCAGGGACTGTATACTGCAAACGCACCATAGTTTAAGACCTTAATTTATGACATTATACTTAAATAAGCAATCATGTAAATTATCAAATACATCAAAATTTCCTGATACAATAATGTGACATTGTAAAGCTTATCCCAGGTGAACTGTGTAAAAATTTCAGTGGCAAGTTTTACATTACAAGTATCTGTTCAGTCTATGTGGGGTCACAAAAATCCCTCAAGGCCCCATATGATTTCAACACATTATTTTTAACCTTTAAGCAGTCTCCCATCAGTGCAGCTTTTTCAGCATGAAACTGGATAAAACCCTCGCAGCTCTCCAGGACTCTCACTGTCACTTGGAAAACACAAAACATTTTTTAACATAAGGTCAAATACTTTGAACAGTTACTTTTACATCGATCATTAGGTCATACTATTCATTAAATAAGTGCCAGTGGATATTACCAGTGTATCAGCATCATGATTGTCACATTTACCCCAGTAATAATAAATCTCTGCACAAGATTCTCTGTTTTCACAGTAGAGCTCTCAACAATAAACAAATTCATAGATTATGAGAAAAATATTTAACATATTCTGTGTTAAATAGCCTTTCTAGGTGTTTGTTGGCTAAAACGGGCAAATCAAATTAAATGTGAAAAAAGTTGACATCTGCCATCTTGTCTGCAGTCAGGTCTTTCTTAAGCAGCATCCTCCAAGGCTGAAAAATGAAGCCAACGTAGAAGTGCCCAACACTAACTTTAGGTCCTCTAATGGTGACTTCAGTCCCCATTAACACCCATGTTAAAATCTCCAACTTTAAAGCAGAAATCAACATGTTTGCAGTCTGGTACAAGAAACAGTTTTGGTCTCTATAGCTAATTTTCCACTTTATTACAACTGCATGATGGGTGAATTTTCATATAACTCTACTGTTAATATTTTATTAAGGCTTAAAGTTACATAAAGACATAAACATAAATACATGAACATAAGTTACATAAAGGGCATAGCTGCTTGAGTGACAGGATGTCTGCAAGGCATCACCACAGTCTGTGAGTCAGATCCATCCTCTTGTCCAAATATGGTCACCTCGGGACACTTTTGGCCCCAAAAATCCAAGATGGCTACAGTCTGTAGTCCTTCTCCTTGTAGCTGCCAGTCCAAACCTTCATTGTGATCATAATGCCTTTAAATTATTTCAGTTTTCTACACTTAAGAGCTGCCTTCCTTTTGATTTTGTGTCACTGTACTCATAACTTAATCCAGCTTTAAACAGCCTTGTAAGAATCTATAGTACGTATATTGATGCACAATCATTTTGAGGTTTGTAACAACACGTTGAAGTGCTCAGGGGGCCACTGAATAATGGTTAGTTTTAATATTAGTGGCTAATCATGTTGTTTTAATATTGTCTAGGTGGATATCGCAACATCTCGAACCAGTATGGCATAACCACTAAAATAGACAAGGAACACCCAGAGATGAGGGAATATGCACGAAGCAAGGGCTGGTGGGACGGAAAGAGTCAGTTCAACTTTGCCACGGTCTACTCCTTCATGACTACAGGCAGGATAGAAGCCTCTGGGGGCCGGTACTGTGAGGGGAAGAAGCTGCTGCAGAAGAGCGACGGTTAGTAACACACACTTCACTGTGGAGAACTGACACGCAGGAGCAAAAAGTCACAATGTTTAATACTGTTTATGCATGTGTTGATTATATTTCCTGAAGGTCACATCACTGCTGAGACGATGATGGATATCCTGAGGGATAAAGACAGTGGCATCAACATGGAGGGCATGTTCATGTCGACAGGAAGTATGGTGTCTGTGATACCCACGAATCCTGCTCTGCCAGGGGTCCACTACTTTACAGCGACTCCAGACCCTGAAAGGTAAAGCGCTTGATCTCTCTCCAGCTGATTGGGCATATTTTTAATTTATTTTGACAGCAGTTAATGGTGATTTAATGAGTCATTCTTTTGCACAACAGGTCTGTATTCAAACCTTTCATCTTTGTGAAGAACGCCATCGAGCTGAAGGAGACGACTTCTCCCAGTTACGGTCCAGATGACCCCGTAAAGAAGAAACCCCGCTTCCAGAGCAAACCTGACCGCAAACATGAGTTGTTTGTCAAACATGAACTGGTGGCTGCCATCATCGAGTCCTACAAGGTTTCACAATTTAATTCAACCAAGCAATTTACCTAAATTTGTCACTCGGCTTAGTGTGGCAGTCGTCTACTCATAAATGTACTTACATATTTTTTTTTTTTGTCTATAGGACAGAGGAAGGAAGATCACTGAAAGTATGAGGCAGCTGGAGAAGGAGAAGATGACACAGATGGAGGAGTTTCTCTCACATGGTATTGAGGAACCGGATTTACAGGCGAATCTGTTCCCGAGGTCTGTTAAGGAAGAGATGGCTGTGTACGGCAAGAGCTGAAACCACAAAACACGTCTTCAAACAAAAGCGACAGTAGCACTAGCTTTACCTTTTATTTAGGTGCAAGTACAATCATGCTTGTATCATAAATCAGAACACATTGAATAGTAATTAACATTTTTGCTTAAAAATTAAGCAGTTAAGGATGCTGAGGCAGTAAAATATACATATCCCATGTTGTACAATTTGAACTTAAATGTTGACAGTATTGAAGCATTGACCAGAAATACAGTAAGGAACAAATTCATTATGTGGTTCATGTTTTGAGGGTTCTGCAATAAAATTTATTAAACAAACAAAACAACATAATAATAAATAAATAAAAACAAATGCCGTTGACAGTACCTCAGTGCTACACACTGTATTAAATTGTATTTTATTAAAAAGACATTTTTACACCACTTTTTATGCATGCTTTAGTCATTAATAAACACAAACCATTGCACTTAAAAAAGCCAGAAAAAATATAATTTAGCAGAATTAGTTTCCAAAATATTACTATATACCTGAGAGGAAAAAAAACAATTACAGCAGCTCATTTAGCCCTGGCTGAGTTCTGACACTCATTTCATTTGGTTATTTATTAGTAATGATGGCTTTTTAGTTTGTTTAAACTGAATTTTCAGTTTGCTTTTAAAAAGTAATAAAATATATCATTGAAACATGGCAAATGCTTGTTTTTCTTTTTCAAACCACCAGAGATACCACAAACATAGACCATATAAATCACCTTTCTACTTCAGTGCAAATTAAACTGCATGTTATCACAGCATGCTGTATGCCCCATCTCCAGTTCACTAACCGGTGAAACTAACTTATTCACAAACTTTACTGGCAACAAAAAGGCACTAAAAAATGGATGCAGATTTAACCACATCGTCCCTTTTTTTCCTTTAGGCAAGTGGCTTTGGTAGAAGAGTGATGAAAGTGTCCCTGTAAAGCAAAATAATACATTCAGCAGAAGGCAGGCATTTTTTGGCTGCACCTATAAGAAGTTTTACGAGGACAGCTCTTTGTGCATTATTGCTCACACAGCGACACAACATAAAATAAAAACTGAAAGTCCAGAGGCCTCATGTACAAAGACTTGCGTGGATTTCCTACTGAAACATGGCGTACGCTTAAATCCAGAAAACGTCGTACGCATAAAAATATCCAGATGTATGAATCTGTGCGTACACATGAATCCAAGCACATTTCCTTTGTACATCCCAATCAACGCGGAATTGAGCGCACATGTTGGAGTACCCGGCCCCTCCCTGTCCACGCCCCTATTTAAATATGCAAATCATATTTAAATGAATCCTGCACCTAAGATTCCCCTCTCTGCACGATCAGAAAACTAAAACAAAAGAATGAGTAAGGCGGGAAAAAAGAAAAACTTCACAGAATGCGAACTGGAGATGCTCACTGAAGTGGAGGCGCACAAAAATGTACTTTTTGGCACGCTGTCCTCCGGCATCAATACAAAACGCAAGGTGAGTGAGTGGGAGAGTGTGTGTGAGCCTGTCAATGCTGTGGGGACAGAAAAGCGTACCCACGCAGAATTAAAAAAGAACTTGTCCGACATTAAGGTGGACGTGAAGCGGAGGAGGGCTGCCCACCGCCAAAGTGTGGCTAAAACAGGCGGGGGGACAGGAGAGGAGGAGCTCACCCCGTTTGAACAGAGAGTCTCCTGGGGTCAGTTGAAAGCAGACAAATAATTATGTGAACTGGATTTACAGTTTCCATTTGTTAATTTTATACACCACTTACACGGATCACACACTATTGTTGTAAATTAAAGCAGAAGTGCACCGGGGAAAAGGTGTGGCTGATTAAGAAATGTCACACTTTACGCACGGGTTTATTGACATGAGTACTTTACACACAGAGACAATCAGGGGCTTGTTAGAAAACTCTGAAGCTGTAGTTTAATCAGCAAAAAACAGCAAGTCACTAACTTTAACCACTGACTAGTACTGATGCTGTGAAGACAGGATAATATTTGGGGGCGCACATGCTCAGTGTGCATCAGGGGGATTAATGTTAGGACAATTAAACAAATAAATTACTCACCAAGAAGGCACCCATCGCGCACAGTGCCAGCTTGTAGTCTGTTCCCAGCCATGCTGTTACTCAGAATGTATGAATCGTGCGTTAAACCAAGCCACCTCGCCACAGTGTTGATTAATTGCATTTGCGCATCATATATGATCTGTACATTGATCGAATGAAAATGCTTCCTGTTGACATAAACAAATTCATCCTGTGATTGTGCTTTTATACTGTAGCCATGTGTGTGCAGTCGATAGCTCCGATAACGTTAGGAAAACCGGCTGTCGTTGCAAACTGCGCTTTAATGTTGGCCTGTTCAGCTATGGGAATTTGATATACCTGGCTGACATGCGGATAATTCCGTCCCACACAGCTGGCATGGCTCGGCTCAGGGTCGACTGGCACAGTCCCGATCGGTCGGCCAGCTCCCTCTGGAATGCCCCTGGAGCTAAGGAACCCCAGTGTGGTCAGAACCTGTATGGATACAGGCAGCGCATGGCTCCTCGCCGTGTCGCGCTGCCGGCTGCAGCTCTGCGCACAGTTCCAGGAGGACAGGCCTCAGGAACCTAAAGCAGCTGATGAGCCGGTGCCATCTGTCTCTGAACACACGCTCTCTTCGTATTGCACCATTTACAAATCTTCTACTACTGCTAAAGCAGCCGTTGTTGGTATTTTCGGCACCACTTTGCGCATGCTTTTATATCCATTCATCTAATTGCAGACACGCGGCGGTGTTAATTGTTCATCAATGTTAATTGTTGATGTTTCTCTGATGTGCACATCACTCTGAGGACTAATTGTTTTCACATTTATTTATTCTAACAGCTTCTCAGCCACGTTTTTGTGCGTATGCACCCTTTGTACATGAGGCCCCAAGTTGATGTGCTGATTGCATAAAATACTTTAAAAAGTCTTTAAAAAGCAGCAATGTCTTATTTTACCCTTTTGAGATTTACACTACCTGTTGTGTTATTCTTGAAAAGGCATATTAATAGAAAGCATCATGGCTCTTATTTTTGCAGTTTGGGCTGTCAGTCCCTTTTTGGTTCATACTGAACTCATTAGCTTCATTGCAGATTAAAGGAAGCAGCAACATCACTACAGCAGAGTCAAACAGCACGAGGAAAACAGACAACTTAAATATTAACTTGAAAGGAAAACAGGCACATCTTTGAATTATTACTGCCTACTGTTGATGTCAGTAACAATTTGAAGATTAAATAAGTGTTGATTAAATTCTAATCTACAGAATTAAGTGCTAGCTACGCATCCACACATTGATTATAGGGATTATAATGGCCTTTTCAAGTACTCCCACTTTAGGTTTTACCTCAAAATAAATGGTTTTGATAATTTGGCAAATGGGGCGTTTACTGTATATGTATGATCATCTGACAGCTCATGTTCCTGTCCTGATTGGCTGCTGTAGCAATGTTGCCGCAACTCAAAATCTTAGCAGTTATCCTGCTGAGTGAAATGTTAAAAGTAAAACTGCAAAAATAAGACAGGTTGTCACAAAAAAAGAAACTCCCTTTAAGATCAACTCCACATGATGGATTACTCCCTGACCTGTTTGGTTTTTAAGGTTCAAGCTCATCTGAACACACCCAACATCACAGTCAACTACGGTCTGTTCCAACACTTGACCGGGATGTTGCACTGCACAAAGCTGTACTGTGAAACGCTGTACTGTACAGGATGTGCACAGAGCAAGGCAGTGCAAATACAGTTTGAAATGTCAGCATTTTTCTTCCTGCTGCCCGAGCACAAGATGTATTTGCATTGTCATTTTTTCTCAATTGAAATGCCATTAAATCTTTACTTTGTAACTTATGTCATGAAGCGGTAGTAAAGGCGACTGTCCTGGAAATCGTGCTCCTTACTGATGTGCTGGAGCACACCGCCCTGCTGTAACCGCGTCCCATAGAGTACCGCCTCACCCTGGTCCTGAGCCAAGCCCACCTGCTGGAGCCACTCTACAAGTTCACAGCCAAGAAAACACTCCACCATAGTCCTCTTCCCACACCTGAAAGTCAAAAGAAGCATTCACCCAAAGGTTTGTTGACTTTTTAGAAGGAAGAGAGAAGAAGCAAACAGAGCCCACATGCAACAAAACTATAAGAAGTAACAGTTTTTTTTAAGTATAGTCTTTGTGAATGACGACTAGGGGAGAGATGCAGAGTTACGACAAACTGTTTCGCACACAAACAGAAATATGCATACACAATCTTTTCATAACATTTAGAAAGCTGTCTGTTTTGTGAATTTTGATAATTGTGGCATAGGGTGCATGGCATGCACACAATTTTCACACCCACAGTTAGCCATAAATGGATGTAGAAACGCCCTCAAATATCAGTGTGCACATCAATATTTGTGTCCCTCCACTACTCATTAAATTTGTCAATGAGACATTTGGTAAAGAAAGTGCAATTTCACCGACTTGTGTAGCATCGACTAAGTTCTTCAACAGCTGTCATCCTGTAAGTTGTGGCAACTTGTGTATTATGTACCAGTAATTCATTACATTTCTGCAAACCATTATCGCAGTAATATCTCAATCATCACTGTTAATAAACGTCAGGGGGATAATCAATAACGTAACCATGGTGCTCATGTTAAAACTGCCTGTAAGTAGTGCTACAAGTGACAACATGTAACAGTCATTTACATGGAGATGATTGTGTGGCCTCAAAAATAACACAATCAGTGAAATCCTGAACCAATATTATCCATCCCTTAATCTTGTCCTTACATCACCTGCAGCTATCTCAGCTAAAACCATGTGTATGCCTGGTTTGAACAATGACTGTGCACATTCTCACCGCACACTCTTACTTTATAAATATCACTTAATGTGTGGGAAAAGGTGCATGCACAGTTTTTGTGCTTACACACTGTTTATGCATCTGACCCCAGGACTTGTTTCTCCACACATTTAGAGAACGTGTTTATTCAAGACATTTCTCATCATCCTCTGACCAGAGCTGCGGTGAGTAAGACGATATGCACTCACCTTCTTTTTTTGACAATGTCATGAAAACACTGGTCCTTGTGGTATTTGGTGAACTGAGTGCAAGTCATCCTGATTTCCTCAGGTAAATCGGTCTGTGGCTGCTCCTCTTGCTTCCTCCCATACCACAGACTGTATAACCTGAACACCATTCACAAAGACAAAATAAACACATCGTATATTTACACAGTACATACGGTATTTTGTGCGTATAAAAAACTTAATGTGAGAGTGTGGCGTTGTTTTGTAACGTAAATCTTCTTTACCTCTTCTTAAATGGCACTATAATTAAATGCTTGTCCAGCCCAAACAGAGCAAAGGAGAGAAAACCCTGGTGATAGAGAACATGTGATGAAACTGGTGCTGCTGTGATGATTAATGTTCACAATCTTGGTACCACAGTATCTGGAAGACCAACCTGTCCATAGTTGGCCACAGCACAGAAGAACTGCAGCTCCAAGTAGAGTCGACCAGGAACAGGGTTGAAGAGCACCCACAAGCAGCTGGACAGATTCTGCCGTAACAGGAATATAGAGGGATTTTATGTATTAGATGTAAAACTAGAAAAAAAAAACCAACTTGTAGAACCAGCTAAGTGAAACAACTCACTACATCAGGTGTCAGTGACAGAAAAATATGTGAGCTGAGCTGCCTTAAAATATAAACATCTTTACATTCACAGAAACATTTAACCACAAGCCACACAATTTATTGGTATTTACTAGGCTTATTTAATATGTTTTTTATAATAATAATCTAAACATAATAATTTTCTACTGTGTTTCTTTGGCGAAGGCTTCCTCTGACACTGAGTGAGTGAGCTGGAAATTACACAGCCCGGCCATTTGTGTCTGATTTGGTTTGTGATGCACTAAATATAATGATGCAGGCAGTAAGGCTGACTTCATGTCACTGTAGAAGTGAAAGGTGGTGGTTTACTCACAGCGAGCAAGCTGACAGTCAGGAGCAGACATAAGAGCACATGACGGGCCACTTGTCTGTCTGCGACCTGTTGCAGCTCCTCCACTTGGACGAGCAGGCAGTCAGTAGATGCACAGCTGTTCTCACAATGACCTGAGGGTGGCAGCAGAACACAGAAACACTTCATTTTAATTAAAAGCTGTACATTCTTTGGGGCGTCGGTGGCTTAGTGTTAGAGCAGGCGCCCCATGTACAAGGCCGTTGCCGCAGCAGCCCAGGTTCGACTCCAGCCTGTGGCCCTTTGCTTCATGTCACTCCCTCTCTCTCTCCCCCCCCTCATTTTTATCTTAAGAAAAAAAAAGCTGTACATTCTTCAATGATTATAATTCTTGTGTGATGTTTAGGTTTTACAGATTGAGGTTTAAAACTGTAGTTGGTAGCTGAAACTGTCACTATATCCATACAGCACTAACTGAGACAAATAACCTGAGGAAAAAAAAAAATTCTCATCTGCCTACTCTATTTCCTTGTCACATTTCTAACAGCCTTTAGGCACATGAATGAAAACAACATAACAGAGCAGAGTGTCTAAACGCAGCTGTCAATTCCTGCTCTTTAACTGTGGTCAAACTGACAAATTTCTGTTTCTGCATTGCCTATTTCTCACCTCAAATGTCTTAAGAAACATATTTTAGTGTACTGTTTAGCTGTAAAATAAGAACGTTTATTCTGGCCAGTGGGCAGTGCTTGGTACTGATCTCATTTTACAGCTAAACAGTACCCTAAAATGTGTTTCTGAAACCATCTGAGGTGAAAAATAGGCAATGCAGTAACAGAATCTTGATTCATGTTTGATCAGCACTGCCTAGTTTGACAGGGATTGACATGACTGACAGCTGAGTTCGAGACTTCTTGGCTCTGCTTGGTTGTTTTTGGTGTGCCAATGTAGATTCCTGCAAATGCCATTAGAAGCACTAGAAAGAAAGGGGAAATTATTCTCTTCACAGACAGAATAAAAGTGACAGTTTCAGCAAATATGACACTTTAATAAACGTTACCAATTTTAGCTCTAATGCATTTTAAATTCTTGCATAATTAAAATGCACGTCTGCTGCTTATCAGAACAGTACCTGAGAGTGTGGTTGGTGTGCCGTTCATATTTGTGCTGATGATCATGTCAGGCATGGGCTGGGGTGGCGCACACTCACATATGAGGCACGCTGATAACAAGAAGATAAAAGTGAGAGTAATACTTTGCCATGCTGCTACAGTGTCCTCCCAGCTCACACTGGAGGCACAACGTACATACAACAATATATGAGAAATATAAGTAATACAAAAATAATACCATAATGAAGCAGAGAGGTAATATTAGTGCATGCAGTCTCACATTTTATCAAATGATATAAATATATCTTCAATATCTTGAGTTAACAGGAGTGTTTAGAGTCATGATATACTGTGACGACCTAGTATCCTACACATCACACTTATGTAACAAATAAGTGTTTCCCTTCAACACTTGCAGAACTGGTTTGCATGTTTTGTAGTGTAAGACCAATGAATCTAGCCATTCCCTCTCCTTTAAAGTAACAAACTTTACTCCAGGTGGCTCAATTACAAGTCAAAGATCTGTTTCTATGGCTGCATTGTGAGAGATAATGTGTTCAGCCTTTACTTATGTAACTAACTAAACTTATCAGGAACTTCAGTTATCATGTTTCCTCAAGATAATGACATCCAAAAAGTTTGTTCCTGCTTTTTAGTTTAGTGTATACTTAGTGACTTTGTAACTGCAGAGGCTTTTTCTACTCGTGTAACTGAAAATTATCTGCAGGAGAAAGAATATGTGACAGAAGCTGTATTGCCTATGTAGCAGTTTGCTGTAGATGACTTCTAGATAAGAAGAGTTAGTCCTGACTTTGGATTCTTGATTGTACTTTTCTTTTCAACTTAGTCTTTGATGACTGACAAACCATTTTAGATGTTACAACCGCCTCTGTATGTTCTAGTGATCACCATGTGCTCTGATAATGTCACTACACTATTATACTTGGCAACCTGGTATTTATTCAGTGTCATCAAGGTGACATATTCAAACAAATACTGAAATGTTGAATAAAGGTCTCAGTGAAATGGTCTCCACAAAGCAAAGTACCTCTGTTGGGATCACCTGATGTGGTGACTGGCTCAAAAAGAGTCTGGTTATCTGGTTCAACCTCAGTCACAAGGTCCTCTGCGGAGTTTCCCTCTTGGATTTGGTCGTTTTGGGCCCAGCTTCCTCTGCTGAGACAAACTAGAGAGCTTCCTCCCAGCAGTATGCTGAGGGCAACTACGACTGTGGTGCAGATTATCTGTCAAAGAACGCACAAATACAGACATGCAAGCTTTTAAGAAATTCTCTCGGGTTCAAAAACAGTTCTTAAAGGTACCACATTATTCTCATTTTAAGGTTCATACTTGTATTTTGGGTTTCTACTAGAATGTGTTTACATGCTTTGATGTTAATGGCTGCATGAATATACCTTTAATCATCCTCCGTTTTAAACACTCCATTTTACCACCTGTTTCTTGAAGCTCAGTTTGCTCTGATTGGTTAGCGTTTCCGGGTCTTTCACATCTGCGTTCTCTGTACTGTTACTGCAGCCAGGGAATGACTGTAACAGCACTGTCACAGCACTTTCTGCCTTTATATAATATACTTGTGACATCACAACTGCATTGAAGTCCTGACAGCTCGTTTAAAGGCACAGTTTCTGAATATGGACTGTGTGCATTTGTCTGTGGATTGAGTGCTCTGATACCTTCACAATTCTTACAAAGCATCTATACTTGCTTTATAGTAATAATAATAATAATAAAAAAAAAGCAAATCTGACTTTTTATAGTACGGGACCTTTAAATGGCAGAAAAAAAAGAATGATTTATGGTGTTACCTGTGGGGTGCCATAAAAGAAAGCAGAGTCAATTGTGTCAGACATTCTTTGCCCAGAAATAAGCAATACAGCAGTTACTGAGGCTGGAACCCTGTTTTAATAAAGAAAAAAAATACAGCAAAATCACTGACAGTATCAAAATGCAAAAACATAAACCAGCTCAAACACACTGAATCGCAGACTAAATTTGCAGGAATTTAAAAAGTTTGTTCGATCATTTATATTAAAGTGAGGCATCATTACCCCTGTACAATCACCCTCGGTACTCCTGATCATAGTTTTATGTGGTATATGGTAATGTATGCAAATACTGTCCAATATGTTAATTCTACTGTGGGGCAGGTATTCTGGTTGGGGCTCCACCTCTCAGTGGAACAGACAAACAAGCTTAGTTTCATTTCTGTGTTCAGTCTTCTTTTAAGTGACTCACCCCCAGCCTGCAATGACAAACAGGCCTGGTGAAACTTTCACATCCTCAAATCCTCTCAGGAGCACAAGAGAGAGTGCTATTAAACCTAAAATGACAAAAAAAAAATGAGCATTACAAAATTAGCAATCAAACTGTAGATCTCAGAGCTCACCAAGATGAATTAATGCAGTGTAATGTGAGCTTAATGTAGGTGGATGGTTGTGTGCATGCATATCATACCTGACCAAACATAGGTACTGTAGAGTGAGGTACACACTAATGTGAACGTCAGGACCTGCCCGACAAAGTTGTCTTCTTTCACCACAAAGTTCCACAAGATCATCCCGACACAAGTTAGAATCTAGAGACCGCGGCGTAACAAATACAAGCATTTACTCATGTGAAGTTACACCTACTGGTAGGATTTCTTTTTCTTTCAAATCAATTTAGAGATTATGTGCAAGTGCTCACCTGTGCCAAGAAAAGGTTGACTGTAAACATGTGAGGTAGCCTCTTGAATTTCTTACTTAAAAACATGACAGTAATCGTCCACACCTGACAGAGAAAACACATTTTTCTTATTATTCATATTTACCTGCAAAACTCTTTTGCAGAGATGCTAAACACAGCTAATATTAATCATTGCTGGCAAATTATTCAGTTTCAAAGCGTAAGAAAGCGGAAATTGTTCAACAGAGTGACATATTAAAGCAACACTAAAGATGAACAATTAAAGTACGAGATAATGCAGAATACAAAAAATGTGTGAACGTGTTTCATCACTGCAAAGATTATTCAATGTTTATAGTAACGAGTTGCAGGTTCCTTTAAAGATACCCTGAAAGTGATAATTAATGAAATGAGGAAGTAGGTCTATCAGTCAGTTAAGCATCTGTTTGCCCACACATCTTCTACATGACTGAGCCTTTTAATGTCTAACAAGAAGCTAGATTTTAGTACTGTCATTTCATTCAGCATTGAATGAACAGGAGATGTGTAATTAGCAATAGTGAACTGTGCCATGTTATAGGAATAACTAACTATAATCATGGCAGGCCAAACTGGTTTCAGTTTTCAAGCAGAGCATGCTGTAACAAATGCATTATGAAGCATGACTTCACTTTGACCTTAGTTTCCACATACTGAGATAAACCAAAAATAAACTAAAGCACTCGGAGAGCGCAGACCTCCGCCAAGCAGCTCAGATTTCCCACCATTTTATTATTTTATCCACTTCGCTTCAACCGATCACCACCAAAATTGTATCATCTGTTCCCTGTCCCATTATCAACCTTTTCTGAAAATTTCATCAAAATCCGTTCAAAACTTTTAGAGTTATTTCGCAAAAAAACGCTGGCGAAAACATAACCTCCTTGGCGGAAAAGAACCAGCTCATGGAAGGTCAGTTAGAGAACATTTAGCCAACAAGTATACACATATCACACTTAATTGACATGTGTGTCTCGTCGCGACTCACCAGTGCAACCAAGCTCACTATGCTTATGTTAAAGCTGACATTCTGCAGTGAATTCATCAGTAGCTGGGGATCCATCCAACGTATCGTCAGTAACCAGGCAGAAACATACATTATTGGAGCTGAGAGAAAAGTGCTGATCACCATTCCAGAGGTTACCTGTTGGGAAACAGAAATCATGTATGGTGAGTTACGACGACAAAAAGTGGTTCAGTATCTGGTGGGTATGAGGTTGGTAGGTAGATTGAAGCAACTCACAACTTCTAGCTCTGTGTTGTAATAAACAGCATAGATGGCCACACTTGGCGCAGTGGGAAACACTCCATAAAGAAAGGCATAATTGGAGAGGCTTGAGTGGTTCATGGCAGTGCTGTTGCTATTGTCCAGCAGATCCACCATGTCCTTACAAATCAGGGGCATCAACAACCTGAAAGTCAAATCAAAAGACTGGTGTCATGAACCATTGTTTGAGGGGTTAGTTAACACTACCCTGAACAATGCAGTGCTACTGAAATATTTATATACACTAGCTATTATCACTTCCACCCCAGAGACCTCTTAACATGTCATCTGTGTGGTAAACGGCTTTTGGTTTAAGAAAGGTCTGAGTCACCCAAACCACAAGCTCAAAACAACACGTTGGGAGCACATCACAAAGCTCGAACCTGCTGACTCTCTACACTCCTGAAGTGTGTCTTATTATAAAGAAGTCAGCTGATAGCACTAAATCATCATCGTCAGGTCTTTTTTCACTCACAGTTTTGCTGTAATGAGTAATATTAGCGTCACCACTGTGGATCTGGTTAATTTCCCCAGCTGTCCCACCATGGAGAGACCCAAGTAGAACAGTGCTGCTCCCCCAAAAGAGTTGGCCAAGCCGTCCACAAACTCAGCCATGAAGGGAGGAATTGTCTGGTGCAGGGCAAAATGGGCGATGATGCCGATGACGACCATGAACACTATAGGGTTCTTCAGGACCTGTAAAACTACAAGTCCCACAATGACAAGTTTGCTCTGCTGGTGGTTCCCTTGGTTCTTCCACTTCTGGATCTCGCAGAAGGCGAAGCCAATGGGATTTAGAAGCATCAGGGACACAGGTGCAACCAGGTAGATGTACTGGAGGTACTCTGGGTATGTGCTCTTGTACAGGGCCTCAACTGTGGATAAAGATGAAGACAGATTTCTCAATATTACAAACCCTGTTTGGCATGTTTGACTTGTTGGAGCATGCAGCACAAAAGCAGTTAAGAAAGTCATGTATGAAACTTCACCTGGATTTCACACTACAAGGCTGCATACACACAAAGCTGCTCAGAAATACTTTGGTTTACACACTTTTTCATGTGAAAGACGCATTTACACATATGGTCCCTGGGTTGAAGTGCTACCATAGACTGTACAAATAATGGAGGTAGCGAGTGTTATGCGGGATGCCTCTGTGTTGTTATGTTTGAAAGCAGGCGTGGCTGTGGCAGCACATGCCTGGGTCAAAAAGGTTTTAAAATCCTTCCTTCAAAGAAAAATCTGTTAATTTGGGCACCTTCACATGACGCACAACTGTTCATATCTGCCTTAATAAACCCCACTCTAAAAAGTAAAATGCTGGAGCGAGACTCAAATGGCCTCAAATAAAAAGTTATATTTAAAAACTTCTCTGTGAGAGCGAGAGTCTCCTCTCACTCTCAACATGAAGCAGAACAACACTTCAAATCTGGAAGTTCCTGAAAATGGAGGGGAATACTGGAACTGACGTTTGAGTCACTGCAGTAAGAGCTAAACAAAAGGTACTTGAAGGAAATGTCACCACTAGATTATCGAATGTAAAAAGAATGGTTAAGGAAGAAGCTGATGTTGCTATGAATTCTGCCTCACTTGAATGAGGAACAACTGCTGAAATTAATGTCCACTCTATTTGAGATTTGCATATTTGTCAGGCAGTCAGTCAAGCTTAAGTGGGTTTACTCATTTGCCTATGACAGCCTGAGAAGGAAACACGTACACACACCATTAATACACAATAACATTACTTTGTGTCCCCTGTTCACTTCAACTACAGGTAGCTGAGCATAAGCATGATCAGAGGTGTGTTTAAATTTCTGCAAATGCATACGAGTGCAAAATAACGAATCCTGCTTTGCTCAGATCCCACTCTTGGTATATTTTTTTGCATGAGGGAGGGCCCTGAAAGCAGTGGTATCCAGTTCAGTTTGCTAAAGTAGTTTACAGTGCATACACATAATTATACTTTAGGTCTGGTGGATGGGCAAACATTGGGACAGCATGATTACAGTTGCAGCAGTGAATGAAAAGCACTGTGGGTGGCAGGCTTACATGCATTATACTCACCAATGGGATATCCCAGGGCAAAGTCATTGCTTTGGGTGGCAAATATTGAGAAGAGCCCAGCTTTGCTGTAGCGGCTCTCAGGGCTGGCAACTATCAGCGTGAGGACGCAGACAATGAAAAACACAGACACTTTGGCGATGAGGATGCTCCACAGGAAAGGCCAGATGACATTACCAAAGTCCAGCTGCACCATGTTCTTGAACAGCAGCGCTGGGAGGGCAAACTTGGACACAAAATTGCCCAAACCTTTGGCCTGGGTGGACGTGATGATGTTTGCCCTCCCTGCGATGTATCCACATAGTATGATCCCAAAGCACTCCAAGAGAGCCGGTAGGAGCTTGTCTATGGACATGCTGCCTGAGAGAGCAGGGGGGTCCAGGTCTTCCCATGGGTTTTCCTCTTTATGTGAAAAGTTGGTGTCCGGTGCGTCCATCGTGTTTATCCTCCCTCCACTGTCACCTGTCACGCCTGGGTTGCAGTCATGTTAATGCCCTGCTCGGCACTGCCAGACACTGAAGAGGGAAATAAGCTACAGTCAAAGGAGGAGTTAAAGTAGCTGCGTTAGCCGTCACAGCCGTTAAATGGGCTGGTGCGATGTAACGTTATCAGGTAACTGCGTTAGTTAACCGACACAACTCTTTTACGACAGATAACGATAGTAAATCTGTAACCAAACAGCCAACAAACACTTGAGTGTCAATACAATTATTAAAGTTGCTCACCCGAGTGCAGCTGTGACCCTTCATGTACCATGTGTCAGACAAATCTCAGGAGTAGCAGCCGTTAGCCGTTAGCTAGCCTGTCAACCGAGACCCACGGCGTCGCCGACAATACTACGACTTACTTAACTTCATTACAAAACTTCAAAGTCCACTGCTGTAAAAGAAAACTCACATAACTCTGGGAAACCTGACTGTAAACGTGTGTTGTAACACAGGTGTTATCTTACTTTAGGCCCAACCCAGCAACTTTCATAATCCCTGATTTGTCAACAACGTATCAACCAATCACATTATCCGGAGGGGCAAAGGGGCGGGGCTTATTCCACCTGACTACATCAGGCAGAAAACTTGTTTTCAGAGTTCAACATGCTAACATGCAATCATGCGTCTTAATGAGCCAGAAGAAGTCACACACTTGTTCTTGATTACCCCTAAAGCAAGCTGATTTGGACACATACTGAATTTCCAAGTCTCCCCTGTATTTAAATGGCTTTTAAATTTATGTATGGACTCATGAGGCTTCACCACAAAAACTTGTTTGCACATTGCACCGTGAAGCAGTTGTAAATTGGTGCAAAACTAGCCTATTTTATTTATTGCTTATTTCAGGGGTGTCAAGCATAAAGCCCAGGGGCCAAAACCAGCCCGCCAGGGGGTCCAATCCTGCCCACTGGGTGACACTGACTTTACACACCTAATAGTGATGCACTTGAGGAGGCTAAGGTGGAATTTATACTTCTGTGTTGAATTGACGCCGTACCCTACGCTGTAGCCTGGCATGCACCTCCCCAGAAATGTAACTACACCTTGCAGTGATGCAGACCAAAGCTTTTATTTACTTTAATTTCACAGATAAGAAACAATAAATTATAAAGACAGTAAAGCCTCCACAAAAATAACATTTTGAATCTTTTGTGTGATTTATCATGCGGGGATTTATACTTGGGGATTATTCCTGGCTTCATATGAGAAGAGGAAAAGTTCGCTAGCTGCCAGATTAATTTGTATATGTAAAATGCCACAGGCTTGTGCTAAAATCATTAGCATGTGGTATTTGTGGGTAAAATGTGTCCAGCAAAAGCAAGTGGTTGTCTGTGAATGCTGCGTGTTATAGTGAAGCCGATTTGTGTCTACTTGTGTTTGAAATTGTCTCTGTTAAGCCATGAATGGCTTTTGCTTTTTCAATTTCTCTTACTCTAATGCTCTCCACATACAATGTTTTAACATCTTTGTGCAGCACTTTGCATCAAGCATTTTTGATTGTCTGTTAAACACTACAGGAAACAGTAATGTCATCGCTAAAATAAAACAACAAATTACCCTCTCTGTCCCTGCTGCATATTCAAATAAAACTGACACAGTAAAATGCAATCAAATATTTTCTAAAAATCTGATTTTTGCAGTCCAGGAAAATCCGCCACTGATCATGAGACACACGTAAAAACAACAAACAAATGGTCTGTTGGACACAGGTCATGAGTCCATCTCACCCCCCATACATCCCAACCTACACCCACCAAAGTTATTGTGATGATTTGGAGTTTTCATGTTTTATTTATTCAGTTTAAGCTGCAGTAGGCTAATCAATTATCTTATCTTTCTCAGCTCTACACTGTCCCTCAGCTTTTTTGTTTTTGTGCTATGGCCAGCAATTTATATTTTGGTTCTGTCTCACCGCACTGATTTGTATCTTTGCTTCATGTCTGCTGGATGTGTGAAGAGGCACCTCTAAACACTGTTGAGCTAATCCTGCGTGGGAGGAAAATCTGCATTTATATTTGAATGTCAAATAGAGGGTTGACAGAAAAATAAACACAACTAGTGCAGTGGCAAACAGTGGTCTACATTCCATCAGAGTGTATGTGTGATAGTATTGGACCTATTCCAGTCTCTACTTTTATGTTTCCCACCTTTAGATACATAGAACACTTAAAAATGTGCAACATACCGGTCAGTTACAGGTCATGAGGATTCACAGTAAGGACACTGAGCAAGACTGCACTTACAGATCTGACAAAACCCCCTTTATTCAGTTGTTCCCTATAAACATGTCAAAGAAAAAATCTCAGATATTTCTTTTGAATCAATTCAACAGTTCAATTCAACAGTTCAATTTCACACATATATCCTTTTAAAAAAGAAAATCAACGCTACTCTAACATAAAACGTGCTGAAGATACTGTATACAGCACGACTGTTTCCATGCACAAATATCATTCTTCCAACACCAAAAAGCAAACAGAGACTTCAACAGGCTGTTTATACTGTGAGTGCTGAATACAGTAGCTTCAAAAACAAAGGTCATACACTTCACATTGAGTAACAAACTGGTCAATAGAGAGGTTAAACCGGTCTAACATGAGGCTTAGGCCTTTAGAGCATGCTCAGCTCAATGAGACGGCCTGCGAACACGCCTAATGTGCCGATGAGACACACAGCCATGAACACACACAGCAGAATATGATCCAACACCATGGCCACAAACTTCCACTCCTCAGCAGCCTGGAAAGAGAAGAGGGACAATAGTGTCAAATGAAAGCAAAAAGACTTGTTAAAGGACCACGTTAGAGACACTCTATGTGTGAGGAAGATTACATTGTTGGATTCCTCATCTGATTTCATGGTTTCTGCGATGTACTTGATTCCTTCAATGGCACTGCGGACATCAGGGTTCTTGATAATGGGTGACTGGTAGGGGACAGAAGTGGCCTGGTTGCCAGAGATATCTGAGATGTCAAAATCACCACCGTAGATGTTGGATTTAGCTGGCTTTTCCTTTCCTGGGCGTTTCATTGTTGAGAAGAACATGATGTTGGGAATGGTTTCAATAAAAACCTGTCAGAGAAAGACAGAAGGTATGCTCAATGTCAAGGAAATACAGTACTGGAAAATAAAAAATGAAGATGTTCTCTCTGCCACCACTAGATGGCAACATAATACAGTGGAAAAAGATTATGGATTGCTCTCCAAAGCTTTCCAAGCTTGGGAGCAGGACTGACAATCAAAACAATAATAATCATAATTTGTGCCTTTATTCTTCTGTGCTCACCTTGCGGACCCAGTCTGGCATTGTGTGGGTGCTTGGGGAGCGGTGGTGGGTGTTGATGACGATGACAGTGATGATGATGGAGGCAATGACAAAAACCATGGTGAAAAGCATGTACTTCCCAATGAGTGGTACAGCACTGGAGGTAGAGGGGATCAGCTCCACAATGACCAGCAGGAACACAGTGAGAGACAGCAAGACAGAGATGCTGAGAGTCATCTTCTCACCTGGGAGACACAAAAACATTTTCACTGCTCCTGCTAGAGAATACTGACAGAACATCATGCAATATACAGATGCTGTGCAAGAATTATTAGTGGTCAGTCAATATTTAGACAGGTGTTTCCCAGTGTGGAGGTCAGCAGTAGTAGCAGTAGAGCTTTATACAGTCATCACAAATTATACAATAAGAATATAAATAATAAACAATATCAACAGTCTGTGTATTAAGCAGTCACTGCAAAAAGCTTATATATGCCTGTCCCACATACTTTTCAATATACGCTATACTATAAAATAAATAAATAAATATTGGCGTTGTCGTCCATAATTTATCTCTAGCAACAGAAATATGTGTCCTTTTAGTCTTTTATTATTTTTGATTATTTATTTTATTTTATTTTATTTCAGCTTTTTGAGTGGTGAACTTAGAAATGTAGAAATGCCTCTCATATCATATTTGCTGTCTTGTACTAAAAAAAAAATGTACACAGTGTGACAGTGACTTTATTTATGACCAATATTTGCATTGTTTTATAATGCAACAAATCATTAAATTTCATAGCCTGGGAATTTAGAACTAGGTCAGGGCATGATTGGAAGGGAAGGATAAATCTCAGGGGTCGTGTGAGATGTAACTAACAGGATGGGAAAGCCGGAAAAAAAACATTTGACAAACCAATCTCAACTCAAGGTCCATTTAGTAACACTTCATCATCAGATTGATTTTGCTTATTTTATATGATCAAAAGCTTTAAAGCGGCTACTCGAAGGGCACTGACGTGAGTGTTTTTCATGTGCTGCTTCCAAAGTCACAGATTAAATAAACTTAAATAAATTCAGTATCTTATTTACTTAATTTCTCAGACCTTCCTCTCATGTTTGCTTTTTTCTTGTTAATCACTGGATAAAATTACCTCTTGACGACTAAAAATAAATAATAAGCAAAAATAAGTAGTTCACAACCAAGGGACGACAGGTCACAGGTCAACATTTCTTATTTTTGAGGGGTCACAAAGCAAAAATGTACATATGACATTTAGGTCATATCATCTGTCAAAATTATATCTAATTGAACATAGATGTAGTTAAAGAGGATACTTTCTGTTTTCAATAATATAATTAAGAAATGTCCATCATCAATTACACCTTCTGTTTTATTTAAACAAACTGAAAGAACCCTAAAACCCGAGTGGAAAATGTGGAGCTGACACTTTACTAAACAATATGTGTAGCTCACCAACAACATGCAATCTTAATATATTGCCACAAGGGAGAGCTGTTTCTATGAGTAAATGCTTCCCTTCCAATCAGGACTCCTCTTTCAGAATTTACACAACGCAGTAACTGCACTGTTCACTGACACCAGCAAATCACACGTAAAGAATGAGAGGCATTTTTTGTTGTTTCTAAACCTAACAATAGCACAAGTCAACAGATTCTGACACCGTTTCACAAATAAAATGCAAGACGTGTTGTTTTTGTTGCTCAGTAAGAGCAGTTATCCCAGAGAGAGCATCTTTTGGCACCAGCAATCTCCTCCACACTTCCCTGTCAGCAGTCATATCAGAAACTGGGATCAAGTGATGTATTATACATTAAAGCAAAGGCCTGCTTTCAGACATGACAGCACAGAGGGACCCTGGGTAATGAGGCAGACCTACACACTGGGAACGCGGCCAGATGCGCACACAAGCAGTGCGGTTTCTGCAGCAGCTGATGTGGGGACACCTCAGAATTAGGGACAAGGATTTGTTCAACATGATGTAAGGTGTAATATCATATTTCAGTTTTCATATCATATCATGAAAATGCAGATCATAAAGAAAATGGAGCTGGATTACAGAAGACATGAGTGCTTTTTGATAATTTGCATATAACTACCTTGTTTTGGCATATCCCTAATAATTCACATGAAGTGTACATCTATATCTTCTAGTCCTCTTGAGCAAAAATTTCAGGAGTGACTGACACTTACTGTCACACATGTTAAAGACATAGTTTGAAATTTGGGAAACAAATATACTTGCTTTCTTGCTGAGAGAAGATCAAGACCTCTTCCATGTAGATTAAACATGAAATTACAGCATGGAAACGGTTAGCTTAGCTTAGCACAAAGAATGCAAAGTGAAATCAACCATTTACAGTTTCATGGGTTGCTCTGTGTAGACTATTTCTTCGCAGGGCTGTGGATGAATAAAGAGAAATGGATGTTGGAGGCAGGGTCAAAGTCATTCCTATGAAAGGTGCTCAGTGGCGCATGGAGCCAAAAAGGTTTGATTTCCAGGGTGTAAAAATATGATCTTCAGCATCATTGGGCCCATGGAGCAAGCACACTTGAGACTTCCACCAGCTGATCCAGCCTGTTCTCATTCCCAACTTGTCAAATACCGCTAAATTTGTTGGTGATTTTGGCGTCAGACACCGATGTGATAAAGCATCTTTTGTAGCATTATGATACCCCACCAGGCAGCGTTACTTTGTAACTCTACCAGCAACACCATAATTAAATGAGCTGGAATGTCCATGAAGGCCAGACAGGTATGGAGGTGTATGGGTCCAACAAATCCCAGACTTTTACCCAGGAGCCAGCTGTTCGCTTCCCGTTTGAATGTTGAGCCAAAACATTCTGGGTTCTTTTCTAAATCTAACCACATGTTTTTATTGTAAAAGGAAATAAATGTAAAAAAAAAAAAAAAAAAAAAAAGGTTTTTAACATTCTGAGTGTATTGTGAAAAAGACTGCATCTGACAAGAGGGAACTGTACATGTCGTGATGAAATGTTATCGGATCGAATGGATTAAACCCCGGTAGTGAAAGGAGTCATTTTGCGATGCATTTGCGATGCTCAACAAAATGTATTCAGTGACTTACAAATGTTTCTTTCCCAGTGTAAGTCTATGCAAAAAGTCTTTTTAGGTCCAATAGCATCATGTGACGGACATGGAAGTTGTAGTTACACGATTTGGCCACTATGTCAGATTGGATTCAAAGTGCAATGCACTTCCTGAGGGCCTGGGCCAGGCACAGTGATTTCTGGGAGTATTGTTGCCACCATGAGGGTGCCAGACAGTGAGCCAATTAGTCAGCTTTAAAGGTGCTGGTAGGCAGCTGTTTCCCTGTTACCAGTTTTTGTGCAAAGTTAAGCTACTTGTCTCCTGGCTGAAGCTTCATATTTAAAGGCGCTGTATGTAAGAATGTGGCCAAAACGGTTACTGCACTCTAATTCAAAATACTGCCGCGATTCGTGTCCGCCCCCCCTCCCCTTCAGATTCGAGGTTGCTGGACAGCGTCATGTTGGAGACTGATTTGTTTGCCCACGGGCGGCTGCCGTGGCAGGGCTTCCTTGATCTTCGGTTTTCCAGCGGACCGTTCGAGCGAGTCCGGCTTCTCTGCTGCTAACGCTGCTGCCAGGATATAGCTGAGGAGCCAGCTGCTAATGCTATGTACTGGGACGCTGCTAATGCTGCTTGCCGTGCTGCTGTAGCTCAGTCATAACTGTAACTGATGCTGAGACTCTACTGACCGTGTGACTGGTAGACGGCAGTGGGTGGCGCAACAGGCCAAAACACAAATTCAAAACATAAACATGATTTGCGAACCGTAAAAATTTTTTTTAAATGCGAATATTCTGGCTGTACTATTGTTGTCGGTGAGATCAGTATGTTATATGAACATTATTCCTTAGTCTCTGTGACATATTAGGAGGATTTTACGACTATTTGCTTTAGATTTCTTACATATAGCTCCTTTAACGGACAAATATGAGAGAGGTGTAAATCTTGTCATCTAACTCTCCGCAAGAAAGCAAATAAAAGCATTTCCCAAAATGTTGAACTAAATGTACAGATTCCCTTCAGTCCAGTAACAACAAAGCCAAACACAACAGCTGCTACATTTACATTTCAGTATGATGCACAATCTTAACAGACTAGAAATTACAGAAAGAGGACTGTTAAAGAGAGGATAACTGTGTCATAGAGGACTGTGCATGACTGTATCAGCAATGTAGCATGCAGCTGTCGCCCTCCAGCTAAATAAAATGTACAAAATGAATGGTGGCCACATATAGAGACGTACAATGAGATAAAGCATCTGAGCATAGGGAATATATTATTTATTATGAGAGTCACTGCATATATATTGTGTGTGATGAACGTTTAAATATATATTGAGCTCTCTGGTACATTTCATGTTTTATTGGTTTTTGAAAATCAGAAAAACAACAACTGTGCACTGATGTTTCCTTCATGTCATAATGTAAATATGTTATTAACTACTGTTTACTGTTATATCTCAGTGACAAAAAGCAATGTGAATTTAGTGTCAACATACCAGAGTCTGTAGGAAGATAGAAGACAAGGCCAGTCAGGAAGGAGAAGAGCATGCAAGGGATGATGACGTTGACAATGAAGTACAGAGGGAGCCGCAGCATGAGGAAGTGGTAGGTGATGTCCAGGTATGGGGTTTCTGGGCAGCAAGCGTAGTAAACCCAGTGCTTCCAGCCACGGAAATCCTTCATCACCCACTCTCCACTTTCCATGAAGTTACTCAGATCAGGGCGGTCACTGTCCTGGTGAAGAGAGGAAATAAACAGGGTGATTAAAGGATGGGTTGTCATTTAAATTTAAATTTAAAAATTTATATATTTCTATTATTATACTGCACTCTGAATTTGAGCTCACAAGTGATTGTTAAATAGGGCACTAAACTGGGTTTAGGTTATGTTCATACATTTAAGATGCTGTGGTTTCAGAGTGGGTTGTGATGTTATAGTGAATCCCAGCTGACAGCTGAGGCGGGGTACACCCTGGACAGATCGCCAGACTATCACAGGGCTGACACATAGAGACAGACAACCATTCATGCTCACATTCACACCTATGGGCAATAATATTTGTAATATGTGGTGATTTACACCATTTGCATTGTTAAAGGCATAGTTTGACATTTTGGGAAATACATCTATTTGCTCTCTGGGTTTGTGCTTGTTGTAGTGTTCCTGGTGTGAGCTTTGTAAGCCAGGAAATTACGTCATCATGTCAAATTGTTTGTGTTGAGCACTAAGGCTTCAAAAGTTGTTGCGGCACTTGTTAATACATGAATTATTGTCTATAAGGGAGGACTGGCCAAGCAGGTTCGCCTGCAAAGACGTCACTATGACTCTTTGTCACTGGGAAACCACAGGGACAGTCAAATGGCATTAAATTCTCGGAAAGAAATAGCCTCCACACTGGGAAAGAAGAGGGTGTTTGCTGAAGGGTGTGAAGGAATGTGAGCAATCACTGTAAAAAGCTAAAAAAAAAAACGGTCTCATTAAAAGAGTGGCAACCCTGGGGCAAACAAAGTGGTCATAGTTCTGGGGGTAACAGGTGGTGACAATAATAATTACAGTATACAAAAGCAATGACGGCATTAACTACTGTTGCCAGGTAGCGTACTTTTCCAGTAACGTTCTTCCAATAATACTCATTGACTTGTTTTTACTCATACTTATGTTGAGCCACGATAACTGTCTGCTGGCTATAGCCTTATGTTATATAGAGGGATATGAAAGTGGTATCAATCTTCTCTTTTAGCTTTGTAAAGAAGGGCTTTTGAAATGGCCTGAACAGATTTACAGGGTTGACGACGACCAAGTTTCCATCATAGGTCCAGGTGCCCAGCTTCATACTGCAGTTCTGGAGGTCAAAGGGGAAATGCAGCACAATGATTTCACAGTAGCTCTTGAAGATGGCAGGTGGGTTCCACGTGATCTTTCCCGTGTGCTCCAGCAGCACTTTGGTCTCGTGAACGATGGCAAAGTCTCCATCAGCACTGTGGGCACAGAGAAAACACAGGCAGCATCAACATGAGAGATAATAAGCTAAATGTTAACGCAGGGGGACATCAGTGCCTGAGGATGGGTCAGTGCTGCTGTCACACCCCAGCCAACCAGCGCTCAGCTTGGCTAAAGTTGTTGTGGCAGCGGAGCTGGTTGTCAGGGAAAAAAGCAGCGTGTCAGACGCAGCATATGGTGGGAGGAGGGTGAGGTGGGGGACCTGCAATACAGGGTCCAGATTTAGCCTAATGAAATCTGAGCTTTCACACGCTGCATACTGGAGTATTGGAAAGTGTGATTCAAAACATCAGTGATAGGTGTGTTAATTGTTTTTAGAGGTCTGGTAGCTCTTTGTCATGTAAAGCTTATTGTAATGGACAAAAAAAGTTTTAATGAAAAATAAAGGAGGGACATGGCATGGAGCAAATATAGCCTGATAACATACTTGTTGTACAGAACCAGATCAGGGCGCCAAATGTCAGTGGAGGGAACTCTGATCTTTTTGATGCCACCGTAATCCTCTGGGTTCCAGTGCAAGTTCACATCTTTCCATTGCTGAAAAAAAAGCAGATAAGGACACCTAGACCAATGGACGGTACTTCAGTGATGTATGTTCTATATTTGTGAAAGAAAAGTTATGACAGAAAATGTCATGCAGACTGTGAGACTACATTTTCACAGTACTAATAAACATGTTGTAGGAAATTTACATAGTCTTAGGCACATATCTGTTTCTGTTTCTGTGGATTTCATTCCCAATTGTGACCAGTTCTGGATCTAGCACAGCCTGGGCAAACTTCTCTTGCCCCATCCCCCCATTGTGCCCTCCCTCCCAGGGGGCACCCTGGGCGCCTGCCTATGTTGCTAAAAGGAAGATCTGCCACTGACTGCCACATGACGGTTTCCTGAATTTCATCCAATGTTTTCAAGAGAGAATGGTACACAGTATCTTAACTAAACAAGGTGTGTGTAAATTTGTTTGAAGAGGTGTTCTTTATATATATATAGAACAAATAAAAATAAATGAGAATAATATTAATAAAAATAGTGCACAACATGTATCAAACCTGTTTCAGTCGCACGTTGCTGCTGACAATCTGGTTGACCTCATCCTGTGAAAGCAGATAAATGTGTTTAGACAGTTGATGACAGTGAATATTAAACAGATGATGGTGATATGGCGTGTGACACGAGACCTCACCACACTGATGAGCTGGATGAGCTGAAGGCCCACGGTAACAACCACCGGGTCCTTGAAGTGACTGACAGGGCGGACGACCTTATTGTAGCCAGTGAAGAGGGTTTTGACCAAACGGGTTTCATCAGTGGATGCCCAGGCAGCGCCTTAAATGAAATCAAAAAGAAACACACCATACAGGCTCAATAGGCCTGATTTATATTATACTACATACCCATACTTATACTGTGTGATTAATCATATAATTACACTATGTCATGTATTCAGTATATATAAATATACTTATACCTGGATACATTTACATGTACATAACCTTTATATCCTGGGTCTTCAATAGGGGGTCCGTGACCCCTAGAGGGTCCTCTGTGTTACTTTAGGGTGGTCACCAAATTACCTCTTCATAAATTAAATGTAGTCTTTGTTTTTTTGTGTTTTCAAAAAGTAAAGTGTATCTCTAAAAACTCAATAATGTGAATCCAAAATATTATTAGCAAAGATAAATTGGCCTATTAATAAAACCTATTTAGTTTTCACTACACAACATTAATGATAGGCTAACTATGAATCCTTGTGCAACCGTGTGAGTTCATTCATTCATTCATTCATTTTCTGTAACCACTTATCCTGTTAGGGGTCACGGTGGGCTGGAGCCTATCCCAGCTGACATTGGGCGAGAGGCGGGGTACACCATGGACAGCTCACCAGACTATCACAGGGCTGACACATAGAGACAGACAACCATTCACACTCATATTCACACCTATGGGCAATTTAGAGTCACCAGTTAACCTGCATGTCTTTGGACTGTGGGAGGAAGCCGGAGTACTCGGACAAAGCCCACACTGACACAGGAAGAACACGCAAACTCTGCACAGAAGGCCTTTTCCACCTTACATTTTTTCCCATATTTGCCAATTAGCTGCTAAATGACTGCTCAAGACCCCATAATAGTCAGTTAATTATCTCAAGTCCAACTTAATGTTATACAATGTATGTAGTGGGGGTTCCCTTCTCCGTCTCTTGACCAGAAAAACGTTCCATCTCCCCTGCTTTGTATTAATACGGTAAAAAGTTATTGTGCATTTTCCTAATGAGGAACACTGTTCTCCCTACTGTGCAATGATATTTATATATTTAAATATCTTTCCAGTAAAAATGCCAGAAAGCATACGTGTATTACAGTTAGCCTGTGCAGCTATCAATCATGGATATACAGTGTCTGTTTAAGTGAAAAGTTGGGGCGGCTGTGGCTCAGGAGGTAGAGCAGGTCGTCCACTAATCAGGAGATCGACGGTTAGATCCCTGGCTCCTCTAGTCTGCATGTCGAAGTATCCTTGAGCAAGATTCTGAACCCCATTTTACTGTTACATCAGTGTGTGAGTGTGTTAAAAATTGAGTAGCAGGCGGCACCAATGTATAAATGTGTGTGTGAATGGGTGAATGTTACTTGTAATGTCAAAAAGTGCTTTGAGTGGTTGGAAGACTAGAAAGGAGATATACAAGTGCAGGTCCATTTACAATATAATGTACATAAATTTGCTATTATTTTTATTCTATCTAGTTTGAATTTTTTTCATATTTTTATCTGTATGTATTACTCAGTTACTTTCCCCCCTTTTTCTCTTGTTTCTGACTCTTCAGCTGCTTATCTTATCTTATCTTATCTTATCTTATCTTTATTTACTGTTGTTTACAGTTAATTACACTGAAGGTACTGCGACAGTGAAATGTGTGTTTCTTCACTCCTCAAGCTGCCTCTTGAGTGTGCTTCACATTACCATGTCGTGCCAGAGTAGAATACTCCTTTAAGAACATCTGACACTTGAGATGAGTTCATTTAATATGAGCTGAAAATAGATGTGACATTAGGTGTCATACCATTCTCGGAACCCATCGGCTGTATTCGGCGTCTGACTTCCGGCAGACGGCAAATACAGCCTCTGGGGGCAGACCCCCGATTTTGGCTTTCCGGTTTGATTATAGCCTTGAAATCCAGACCCAAATCTAGAAAGATTTAGGGTCTGGTCATGAGTAATGAAAATGGCCCAACTCGAGGGGCAGCACCAAGAATGCATTTATAAATATCACTACACGCAACTGGAAAACACTATGACCAATCAGAACAATACACGGGGTGACGTATACGCTTAGCTACAAGTGGAGCTAACTGGTAGATTAGACTAAACAGCAAAAACGTCCTTCTTGCAAAGGAAAGACTTGAGCGCCGTCTTCTGTTCCTCTTTTAGAGAAAAAGCCAAGTCTAACTCGTTCATTGTAGCGGCCAAAGCCGTTTCAAACAACTGGTGTTCATCCGTAGCCATCTTGCAGTGTTTACTGACTGATTCCGGACTTCGTCGTCGCAGCGCTGTCGTCATCTGTTTAGCTCGCCTCTGGCCCGCCTATATCAGGTACACCGATGTGATTGGTGCAGCTTGGCTCCAAAAGCATAGGTAATGAGCATCATTACTGATTGCCAGAGTGACTCGCTGAGCAAATTCAAATTGTGCTCTCGCGAGAACTCTAGATTTCCAGGGTAGTTTGATTAGGGCGGAGGAGGCGAATTTCCATTTCCGACTTCCATTTATATATAAGTAAATATGCTGAAACATTGCGATGGATTCAGAGTTTGCAGTGACGCCAATTATGTTCCGCCTTGTTAGTTCACCGCACGGACCGTTTAACCTGGCAACAACTGCAGCCAGCTCAAACGTGATTGGTCAATATCACGCGGACTACAAACAGCCTACAACCAGAAACTAGGGCTCTTCCGCTCTTCTCCCAGAGGCAAGATCTCCGGGGGTTGCCTGTTTATAGAGACTAGTGTCATACTATAGGTGTAAGGCACATGTGAATATAACATGTGTATACATGTTGTTTTTTTAAGTAGACTGAAAGTGACCCACTTTTACTTGGTGTGTGCACAGTGTGTGTGGAGCAAAGCTTTGAAAATAATGCTGATTAAATACATATATATTCATTTCATATATATATATGCATATATATTCATTTTAAATGTTTTGAATGTACTTTCCAGGTCATATAGCAGAGATAACCACAAGGGAATTGCACTCAAGCACATGTTCTCAAACCTTTATAGTGTAGATGTATACATTTGCATATATATGGTTGGACTTGGGGTCTAAATTTGGAAATTCAAACATGCAATGGCACCCCTGTAAGGTTGTTAATAGAGATGTTCTTCAGCACTTTCCACTACATGTCTGTCACAAGCCAGAGCGAGATCCCCTTTCATTTTTCAGCTGACCTTGAAACGAAGGTCATTTCACAGCAACATGTTGTTTGAATGGTTGAATGATTCTCCAGACATTCAAGTGAGTAAACTAAGGAATCGCCTGAACATAATTACGCAGGTGACTTCATGTGGTGACAGACAGACAAAAGGTTGAAAAGCAAAATGAAAACAGCACACATGCCCTTGTCAATCAAAGAGCCGGTTCGCGCAGAATTAAAATTTGCTCATTAGTTTTGTTGTTTGAATTGGATCAACTTTCACTGACCTGACAGCAGTTTCAACACACGCATTTAATACAGGGTTTAGCAGCTGTTTTTTTAGGCTCCAACTTTCTCTAGCTTCATTATGTTTTAAAGTCAAGCAAAGCAGACAGACACATGTTCCTACAGGTAAGCAACACATGTCCTTTTTCTTCAGTTTTAAATAAGTTCTTACCTGCTAGAATGACTAGATGGAAACCGAGAAGTACAGTATTCATTCTTGCCAATAAACCCAGGCATCCAAAAGCAAGATCCAACCTCGACACGCTGCCCACGTTGACCACTTGAGAATTAAAAAGATTTGACCCACCTAAAACATTCTTTCAGCACTGGCAAATGACTTAGTGTACAAGCTCCAAGCTGTCCACTGGCAGCCTTGTTGTTATTGTCTGACAGCAGATGTGAGTGACCGGCTGCCAATGCTTGTCATTTGAGAGGGCCACATTCTTTGTCAAGTGTTATAAGATCAACATGCCGGAGTAATCCACCACTGAAATATCCCATCGTGAACTTGGCCACACACAACCTCGAGGTGAGAGGCGACGCAGCAGTACATGCTTGCCGCCTTTTTTTACTTGTGTCAGTGATAAACTATCCGCGCTGTCTTTAAATCCGTACACACAGTTCCATATAATGTTTAGCCCCTTGAAGACACACACTGAGTAATGATTTTACATGGATATAGTTTCAGTTTAAAGTAAAAGCTGTCAATGTGTGATGCATCATTTTAGTTTGGGTGACATATTTGGTGTCATGTTAAAGCTTTGGATTCTAACTAGAATGAAATAAGTCAAGTTCATGTTTGACCTTGGAAACAGTATCCAAAAAAAAGGTCTGTACACCATTTAGTAGCTGTTAGGGCTTTTAATTGTGTCACCTGATCAATATGCATTTGCTGAGGAAGATCATGTGATGCAATCAAAAGCTCCAGAAACCATTTACAAGAGATTACCACAACTCAGATGTGGTAATATTCTTCACCGAGTAAGAATTTATTTTAAAAGGAAAATATTAACTGTTTGGTACTTGATTTTGAATCTTGACATTATCAGATGCATGTGAATGAATGTATTTATAAGCATATCTGTTATATATATATATATATATCTGTATAGCTATGAAAGGTTCCCTTGAACATTAATCCCTAAACCTTAAAATTACACTTCGGGCAAATAGAATGAAATTCTTTCAGTTGGAAACGACTTTTCATCTCCCTCCCTAACGCTTCCAACCCATATTATTGTGGCCAACGGTGTTGCAAAGCATGAGCATGAGTCAGGAGGCTGTGATCATGTGACATATGTGCTGCAGACTGTCCTCCCTCATATGAGGTAATCAAAGGAGGAAGTCGGCTCATGTATAATACATAAAGCCATAAAGTTCATGTAAGGAAGTAGGTCAGAGTGGAAGGTTGGTCAAACAAACACAGGACTTTGATCAGGCAGACCGGGGTTTGTGTCCTGTGTACAAAAAGTTGTCAGCGTTGAGTTATTTTGATTATGTACTTAATGTAACATTATGTATTTACAACCTGGTCTCACTCCGAAGTCGTCAAAATCTGGCGCTTGGGCAGTGACTTGCAGCTTTAGACACAGATGATAAAAGCCATCCTTTAACATCAGCGTAGCATATGGGGGGACAAGAACGAAAGTCCAAGTGGGGCAGGCTGGAGTGGTGGTGGTTGAGTCCAACAAACACCAACTTGCTGATGTCCCGTAAGATTATAAAGCCAAACCCTTTTCTTTTTTTCCTAAACCTAACCATGTGCGTTTGTTGTTGAAAGAAAAAAAAAAGTAAATTCAGGTGTGTTGTACTGACGTAGTGCATTTATTTTGAAAGAGGCTGTATGTATACATTAAATTTCCTGTGAAAACAGAAGTGTATTTTGAAAGAAGACAATGCATGTAACAGTCAGAACTTGACATGGTGTCCTAGAACTTCAACAACCAACGCACCCAGGGTACCTTGCACATTGTTACTGGACATGGAAAGTCCATGACTAAACGTTGATACGTGACGAAGTTGGAGTGAGAATGTGTTGGTATTTAACGTCATGTCACATCATGTCACGCCATGTCACGCCATGTCACAATAAGATATAATGGCACTAAATGCAGAATATCATATGAACCTTTGTATGAGGATATGTTGTGCAAAGACAACTTGATCACTTTCCGTTTTCCTCAGGGCCTAGCAACTGCTAGCAATCTGGGACATGCTGCATTTTGTTTCCCACAGTTACTTCGATTGTTCCATTGTCCGCCATTTTTTTTCCACTGCTGGGGATTGTAACTGCCATCAACTTACACTGATACTCTTTGATAACTAGGGATAACTACTGAGGAAAATGTGACGCCCCTCCCAATGTCTTTGAGAATGTTTCAGCCAGTCTCATCAGGCAGCTGGCTGACATGGGAGGGTCGTTACCATGATTAGGCTCACCTGGGCTTCCAAGCTATAAAAGCTGCCTAATCTGTTCACTTGGTCTCTCCCTTCCTTTCAGCTGACATCCACTGAGCAGTTTTGGTTTGCACCTTCAACACTTCCACAGAACACCTGACACTCACCCATGCATGGTTTTCATGACTGACTTTGCTGATCTACACACTCCATTGATTATTAAGTTAATTTTAGTTTAATAAATTCGGCTTGTTTTAAGTAAATCTTTTGTGTGGACTCCCTTCTAGCATCCACAAAAATGAACCACAAAGAACCAAAAATCCTTGTGTGATACTCCCAAAAAATTCAATCACCATGCTAATACCAAAACACTTTAAAGTGTACTACTCAAAAGTGTTAACAAACTACAAGTCACAAACCAGATTAATCGATATAACAAATCAAGCCTCATGTGTAACACTAAGGCAAGATTTAGCCTTACCAAACCGATCGGACGAGCCCCCATTTGTCACAAACTAACGTATCCCGGACAAGCCCCCACTTGTCACGAACCCGGCCGCACGGCCATGACAAAGAGGGAGACACATACACAAGGAAAGCCAATTAAAGGATTTTATTTGCTAAAGAATAAACATAAGAAAAAGAACCTAACTAAACATGGTATTTGCAATCAGTAAAGTCAGTGGTGTAGGTGAGAGCATGAGTGAAACAATGTATGTGTGTGATGTTGTAGGGTGCAGAAACTAAGATAAAACCAAACCCAAAACAAAATGCTGCCTCAGGAAGGAGAAGAGAAAGAGCAGTGAGCAACCAGAGCTTTTAAAAGCTCACTGAGCTCAGGTGCTGCCACTTCCCTGATTACCCGCAGCCACGCCCACTGCTACCTGCAAGGGAGAACACAACAAGGCAGGCAGGGCAGAGAGGGTCGTCACAAAAACAAAAGTGTGATCCTCTTCCTCTTTTGGTCAAGCAATTGTTGAAGCACTTCCTTTGTGCTGTAAATTGAACCCTGGTTTCCCCGAGAGATCACACCCAGTGGCACATAGAACTGCAGAGGGAATGCGGGGCTTATTGGGAACCAGTCTAAACACCAATGGTGTCATTCATGTATAGCTGTTGCATTATGCAGTCAACATTTACAAAAAACTTTTCTATTTCCACTTTATGTTAATAAGAGTCTAAGTGAGGTAAGATAGAGTAAGATAAGGAAAAGTGTTTTTTATGTGTTTTAATTGTTTTTTCTTTTTAGTTTCTTTTTGAGTGATGCTATGTAATAAATGGTCAGACTGACTTACTTATACTTATATATACAGTACAGGCCAAAAGTTTGGACACACCTTCTCATTCAATGCGTTTTCTTTATTTTCATGACTATTTACATTGTAGATTCTCACTGAAGGCATCAAAACTATGAATGAACACATGTGGAGTTATGTACTTAACAAAAAAAGGTGAAATAACTGAAAACATGTTTTATATTCTAGTTTCTTCAAAATAGCCACCCTTTGCTCTGATTACTGCTTTGCACACTCTTGGCATTCTCTCCATGAGCTTCAAGAGGTAGTCACCTGAAATGGTTT